GTACAAGTACTAATTTCTTTTCATTCAATCCCTCCTCACGACGCACACATACTTATAAAGCTACGAATACACGGGCAAAGCTTACGATGCACTACTCACAGCACATGGACTTTAACAGATACAATGCGCTTTTGACGGATCCCCGTTTTGGCTTCCCTAAGGAACCGATTCACGTTGACTGACTACATACTCATACAGTAGTTTACACAAGATACACACAAGTACAATAGTTTGTACACTACCATATGCTCCCGCACAGCGGTGTATAAACAGGATTCAAAAAAAAAAAAAAAAAAAAAAAATAAGGAGAGACTAGAATGAAAGGGTATGTGTAGCGAGAAAGAACAATAAGAATGAGATTACAATAAAAGGTAGATCTTCGGAATACCAAGCGGCGGAATGGGGCCCCGAGGTATGGACTTGACACATTTGCCATGGAGAAGGGGAACTGATGTATTATGCCACTTTCCCCTGGTACCACTTATCCAGAGTCTCCAATATATCCAATATCCTAGCTTATCCATCAGTGGAGGTAAAAATGGTCAAACCGAAACTAAAAGAGTTCTCCGGGTTCTGTTCTTGGCCTACGGAGAATGAAGTGGAGGAAGCACAACTCCATACTCAACACATTTAACACTTGTACTACTGCCTGATTCCAAGTACCGAACAAAACCTGATGTTCGCCTTCATCAGCTGCTTGACCAAACAAAAACTGTTGTCGAGTCCTCTGCAGCACATATTTCTGTTGAAGACAACATCCTGGAGGAGCAGCCTCGAGGTGATGAACCAGAACCGAGGACTGGGCCGCACTGGCACAGAGCATCAGCTAGAGGAATCGTTCGAAAATCAGGTGGTTGGGTGAAACGGACTGCATTACGGTTTTCGTTAGCCGTACAATTCATCGTGACCGGAGTGTTAAAAGTACCTTAAAATTCAAACAGGTTTCTCTGTGCCGAGAGGATCATCCAAAATGCTATCAATACTGATAGTGCCGGTGATTGACCGGCCTCTCACAGCATTAACTTGTCTCTGGTTCCGCTCTGGTCAACTTGGGGTGATTAATTACTACTGATACAGTTGTGTAGGCTTTTACAAATTGATTTAGATGCAGATGAAGCAGAAGAGGGATAGGGAACACTGACACTTACAAATTAGATCAGGAAGCAGGCGTCTAGCTACTGTAATAGATAACTCTATGTGTTAGGAAGCAGTCAAGGGAGCCTCGAAGTTCGACGATAAGGCGAGATCTTTATGCAAAAAGGTCACTCTGGTGCCGTGTAGTGCATTTCGAGTACTGAGACTCCCGCTTTATTAGTATGCATACGCAGCTTCGTTGGTTTTTATTTCAAACAACATATGAATCTGCAGTGTCATAACTCTTTCTCACTGTCACCGATAAAAGACCAGGAGTACAATAGGCTGAGCCCATGCCCTGGTGATATGTATATGTATAGTAGTACCTTCCGACCTCAAGATTGAAGCACAGATGTAGTTTTATTTGATTCACTTGGCCCCTACCAAAGGCGCAAAAACCCAAGTTAGAAGCAAGTACTGTGATATTCGGAGGGGCATTGGTATACCTCCAGAACCGTCCAGAAATTACGCCGATTTTCCAGGGCATATTGAGTACTGAGACTCCCGCTATCTCTTGTGTAAATACTCGGCTTTCGATTGTTTCAACCTTCCAAGGATTAACAGGAGGAATACAACTACATTCTTTGGAACAAATTTCCTCCGAATCGGCGTTCACTCCGCTCTTGGATATGCAACTTCGAGGACGAGTCCCGAGTCTGCAGCCTCCAGTGTAAACGTATAAATAATGGGCAAGGTTCCATTTTGAAACTGCAGCGCTGGTTCGGTATGTGGATTGGGCGATACACACTTGGTACACCTCCTCAGCTGACAATCTGCTTGTCTTTTCCTAGTTCAAAAACATAAGTTCCCCACCGATAATCATACACTCCCTTTTGCGTTTTGCAGGCCAAAGCCCAAATCCATCTAGTGAGTATTATTTTCTCGAGTCTTGAATACTAGTCATTGATCAGTATATCCCTTGTATCTCCAGATATATACAACTCACCATCGCAAACTTCTTCATTATCCAAGAATGATCTTCACTACATCTCGTTTATTTGCCCTGTTTTGTCTTTGGACGAGCTTCTTCGCGGTGGGAGCCTTGCCTGCTCATAGCCGTGAACGGCGCACCGGTAGTGGAGTTGGTACCTCGCACACTAGTGGTACTAAGGGTGAGCTCTTCAATTCTGAACCATGCCTTTCCTTCAAATACAAATATTCGTTTAGCTCCCAGTACTGATACAAAATCCGGAGACGAAAAGGTGCCTGTCCAACTGTGGGTAAATCACGAAGGCCAGTCCGATGAACACTGGGTTCTGGTAATCGACAAGGTCTACGGTTTCCATGCCATAGCACCTGAAGAGAAACCAGCGAAACCAGGACAGTTGGAATTCAAATCCGGTCTTGACCCTCAGGCCAAGTTGAAACCTCAGCAGCTTGCCTACCGTCCAGAAAAAGCGGACAAACTTATGAATCTCGACTGTGATGCGACGTTCAAAGACCAGGCTGACATGACGAAGGTTTTTGGTGAGCTTGTCACTAAGATCGATATGTCGAAGCCGGCGGATGAGGTAGGAGGTAATTGTATGGATTATGTCAAGATGGCTCTGGAGTTCCTTCAAAAGGGGGACTATATTACTTCCGTCCCGAAAATATTCACGACTTATTATAATAAGAATTATAATGCGGTGAGGAAGGAGGTTTATCTTGGTGGCAGTAGTGATGAATCCACTGAAGAGAGTGAGTGAGGAAGAGATGGCGCTTGGAGAAGGTTATAATATTGTGATAATACGTTTCTGTTCCTCATTTCACTCTTCATTGATGATATTAATGAAAGTTGAATGGATGCTCCAAAATTGAACGGATCAAGAATCGGATTCCCGAGCTGAAATTCTTCCGTCGTTGAACGTTCGGCCAGTAGCGATCGATCTTGTTTCTTCCTGTTTCTTCCCAAAGCCAAGAATCCATGGTCATTATCTGATTTCACCTGAATATATCATCGTGTCAACAACTTGAAAGAAAACATACAGCGATGTGACTAGCAGATACCTAGTGTTCATTTATACAGCCTGTTATCAATGATATATCTCCTCACACGCCCAGTGACCATTTCACTCCATTGACGACTCCGTTTATTGACTTCGCTTCCTTGACTTCCCTCCTCCTCCTCCATTGACTTCGTTCCTGGGTCACTTTCCATCTTAACGCTCTTCCGAACCTCACTGGAACTAATGCTCCAGACGTCTTTCCCGATATCAATCATAGACACACAGGAGGAGGGAAGCGCGACTGAGGTGAGGAAGGTGGAAATTGTTTGATGATGAGAGTTCACCGGCACCTCTGCTGATGAGGGCGGTGAGGAGTTGGAATTAGGCGCAGGATGTGAGGGATGTGGGTAAGAAGAGGGATTCCGACGTGCACAAACAATACTGGAGCCATCGCCTGACTCATCGTTAGTAGTGGAGGAGCCAGGATTGGGCGGAGGTGCAAAGAAGCCTTGTAGGGCTTTGAACATCTTCTCCTCCGATGACTCGTAATATTTTGTATCAAACAGTCTCTCGAGGGTATCGAATCCCAAAATGAATGTTAGCTCCACTTCAGGCATCAGGCTCATAGCGCGAAGTTTCTCTTTGAGCAACGCGCGAAGGAGTTTTGATTTTCCAACAAAAGTAGGCTCGTCGATAATGGCGACAGCGACGTTATTGTTCGACTCGTGAGCGTTCGCATCTCGGAGATCTTCTGCTAGCTCCATCATCATCTCCAGTCGTTGAACGTGGGTCGCGTCGCCCGGTTTGAGCTCTTTATCTGCATTCCGTACAGAGAGTAAAAGCAATTTCGCGTCATAGTCACCTTCAGGCCTGTTTGACTTTGCCAGTGCCAAATGAGCAAGTGTAGGGGGGTTAAAAGAGGAATCGAGGACTAAGATTCGGATCCTGTCGGGTGCTGATGGCAGTGCATCATTCAACAAGGGAGTAGGCCAAAGAGGATGAGAACCCCATATAATCTCAAATGTCGGATAGATGGAGCCCGGGCGCAGATGTTGGAGGGAAGATGAATTCAAAGCCATTCGAGATGCGACGGTTTTTAGTACCAGTCGACGAAATCGTGGAAGGACCGGGGAGAGTATACACATGTGGGCGCCTATTTTCCTTGTCAGCCCACGTTATCTTTTCCTCTCTTGATCTACGATGACCCTCAGCTATGTGGCACTGGAACCTCTCATTCGGAGCATGCTGATGTGACTCAGCTGCCTTGTTATTCTACGTCTGAATTCAGAACCCTGGAGAAATGTCATGAACATTTTTTCCTCAGTTATGCCTGCTGCAAAATCGTCAGGGTCGGATCTGCTGGTTCCTCATGGACTTCTTCCGTTCCAGATTAGAACCCAAATTTTCTTCTGGACTGACGCCGATTCACCTCATCTTCCATGTCATTGTATATTCTCATGGGCCTGTTCAGTTGAATATGTCCATGAGTGCCAGCGCAGATCCTGGACAATGCAATCAAAGATGAAGGAACAACAGAGGTTGGGATGCCGACACCAAGTTTAACACCTCAAACTAATTCCATCTGTCACGATATCAATGAACATTTCTTCGCTGATTCACGATCTCCTCCGAGCCCTACGAGGGATGTGGTCGCGCTGTGCACGAGACATGGATTCCTTTATCACAGTGTCTGTACAGGACCATTGTACACTGCGGGCTGCGGCGTTGGGATATCTAACTACCATTATCTACATAGAGTGATAAATGCCAACAGTATTGTCCCCACGAACAAAGAACATTATTCTAAGATAGATAGATTACTATGTATATGACATCGAAGCACTGAATCATCAGATTCTTTTATGCCGTGCCGCCTCGACGACTTGTCCACTCCTTCTCTTCTTTTTGCACCACTACCACTACCACCGGCCACCCATTACTCCTCAAGCAAACTTTCTTCCACTTTGCGATGCCTCCTCGCGTCTCCAATACAGTCAATGTGCCATCTACCGCTAATCACGTAACCACAATCGGTGTGAAAAGGACTGCGTTTGGAAGCTCGGGTCGACCTCTTCCAATTTTCGTTAACGTGTTCGAGACGACGCTCCCGCAGAATATTATCTTTCACTACGATAGTGCGTCCTTTTGATCTGCGAGATCGCGACGTGGTTCTGACTGACTTTGTTCTTCGTTCTTTGTAACTTTCTCCCTCTTAGTCGGTTCGGACTTTTCTCTCGATTTATATGTAGACACGACGCGCATTGACTAATCTTCAACGCGTCTACAGTTATCCATCCAGCCGACAAAGTTCTACCAGCGCGTCTTAACATGGACCTCATTCGCGCACTCCAAACACGCATCGCTCCCGATGTGTTCACCCCCCTTGGCGTATATGATGGTCGGAAAAACTTCTTCAGTGCACGGAAATTACCTCTTGGTCCTGATGATTTGAGAGAGGTAAGGATTTCGATCCGACTCTTTAGTGTGTGGCACCATGCAACGCTCACCGATTCATTATCCCAGTTCGACGTTACGCTCGAAAGTGCAGATGAGTCTCCGAAGGGAAAAGGGCCAAAGGTTTATAAGATTCGTTTTAATCTGGTCGCTCAAATCAATCCGGAGTAAGCATCTCTTCTTCGGCGCAGCATTGTGGGTGTATTTGTGGGTCCACTCAATTGTCTCCATCTATCGCACTCAGAGTTCTCCGGCGATACATTGATGGAAAGCAGTCGCAAGATAATGCGGTGCTGACCGCCATTACCGTCAGTTATATTTCGGACTCTTCACTTCTAAGAACTTGAATCTTCTCTTCTTTGATCTACAGGCTCTCAATGTTGTGATTCGAATGGAGCCATCTCAGAAATATCCCTTCAACGTCAGATCTTTTTTCACTGATCAGGAGAAGAAGGACATAGGATCAGGTATGCTCTACTCCGCTTCTGCAACCGGTTTTCTCTTCTAAATCTTTCCGTCAGGACTCGAACTTTGGAGAGGTTACTTTCAATCCGTCCGCCCAGCTCTCAAAAAGATGCACATCATAATCGACACGAGTACTGCCACGATGTACAAAGCAGGAAGGCTCATCAACCTATGTCTCGACTTCTTCAACAAATCAGACGCGAAGATGTTGGCTCCGAGCAATGGGTTCCCGGACCGAGAACGTCTTCGACTCCAGAGGTTCGTCGCCGGCATCCGGGTGTTGACACCCACTCCTGATGGTCGCAAGATAGCCCGAGTGGTGAAGAAGCTTAGCTCAGCTGGAGCCAGCGCTTTGTCCTTCAAACTCAAGGAAGGTGGTACAATGACCGTCGCGGAGTATTTCCGAAATGTACTCAACCGCCCATTACAATACCCTAACCTCATTTGTGTCGAGGTATGTTCTTTTCAATGGTTGTATCAGAACTAAAGTTCAAAGTTGTGCTCTTTCTTTCTAGATTGGTACTGGGGCTTTGATTCCACTTGAACTTTGCGAGGTTCCCCCTGGGCAAATTATGAGAAAGCAAGTCCCACCAGAGAAGACGAAAATGGTTGTTGAATTCGCGACCAAGAAGCCGCAAGATCGTCTCAAGTCCATCGAGGCCGGTCTCCAGGTATGACCTTTGCATGCCACACAGTGTCTCTATACTGAAGTCAACTCTACTATGCAGGTTCTCTCATATGGACAATCTGACTACGTTCGGAATTTCGGGATAACAATACCTCAAACACGGGCAATGAAGATTCAAGCACGGGTCTTGAACCCTCCCGCCTTGAAGTACGGGCCGGGAAGTCGTCAACTAACGATCGTACGTGTTCAACCATTTATCTTGTATTACTGATCCTTCCCCGCTCATCACTTGCTTCGTTACAGGTCCCGGCCAACGGTCAATGGAATATGTAAATCTCCAAGACTTTCTTGGCATAATTCTTTACTGATTGTCGCTTAGGCGCGACAAGCGCTTTTTCAAGCCGGTGGACGTCCTTCGTTGGGTTATTGTCGTATATGTATGAGTTTCAACCTTATCTTGTGGTCAGATAACTTTACCTGTCTTTCTTCAGGAACGCAAGCAGCGCTTCAACGAGCAAGCTGTTGCTGAAATGAGCCGGGGTTTGTGTGGCAGTGCTCGGGAAGTCGGTCTGTGTTTGCACATCATTCTTTGGCTGTTCAGTAGCTAATGTCGTTCTTCCTTCGCACCAGGTATGAAAATGACCCCGACCCCTTTCGTCGTTTGGTACAGTGGTCAAGGGGATATTGCTTCCCAACTCAGGGCTTCGGGGAAGCTGGTATACGATCAATTTAAGGCACCCCCCAACCTCATTGTAGTTGTTCTGCCAGAAGGTGGTAATGAGATATACACCGCTGTCAAGCAGTGAGCGGCAAAGTTTCAATCTTCTGTGTCGGATACACTTATGTTGGATTAGCTTTGGGGATATAACGATGGGCGTTGCCACTCAATGCCTGAAGTCCACAAAGTGCTTTGGTGCGAAGGCGCAATATTTTGCCAATGTTTGTTTGAAGTACGGACTCGTTCCTTTTGCCAATGTGTTTATGTTGAACTTTGTCTGTATAGGATCAATGTCAAGCTTGGAGGAATCAATGCAATTCCGGATCCCAACTCAGTCAAGGCCTTAACTGATCCTCAGAACCCCACAATTGTGATGGGTGAGCACTTCAATAACCTCTCATAACAACTACTCACATACACTTTGTGCTCAGGTGCCGACGTCATTCATCCCGCGCCCGGTTCCCAAGGCCGCCCTTCTTTCACGGCTCTTGTTGCCAGTGTTGACTCTGACAATGCGAAGTATGTTGCAGAATGTGGAGTACAGACATCTCGCCAAGAGATTATTGAAGATCTTGAAGTAATGGCTAAGGTCCGTCTTCAATCCCACTGTCATTGTGTTCTCTGCTTGATTACTGGATGCTGATTTGTTTGTAGAACACACTCACTATGTATGCTACATATCGTACGGGTGTAGAGAAGAAAAGTACGCAGATGGCGTCGCCTAAGCGTATCATCTTTTACCGAGGTTTGCTACTGCGTTGATTGAATATGTTGTGACGTTTATCAAAAGCTTTGTAGATGGCGTTTCTGAGGGACAGTTTCAGCAGGTTCTGGACCAAGAACTCGTAGCACTCAAGAGTAGGTACTTAAGTTTGTCGATTGATAGCCAGTTCACCAACGTCGTCTTCGTTGTGCCCAGAGGCTTGCGCTGCTCTGAACATCAAGCCCAAAATCACCTTTATTGTCGTTGGAAAGCGTCACCATATAAGGTATACATTGTTCTTTTGTTTGAGCGCATCCTGCGACTATCAAAATCCTCCAGGTTCTTTCCTACTAATAAGGCCGATGCGGACGTTTCAGGCAATTGTCCTGCAGGAACTGTGGTAGATAGGGAGATTGGTCACCCAACTGACCTTGATTTCTACCTTCAGTCGCATGGGGGTTTGTTGGGAACAAGTCGTCCCGCCCATTATTCGGTTTGCAAAAAAAAATTATGAATATAAACGACACCCTTCCACTAATGGGCATTTTGTAGGTTCTTCATGACGAGAATGCTTTCAGTCCGGATGCCCTACAGTCATTATCATTCGCCCTCTGCCATGTATATGCCCGTTCGACCCGCAGCGTCTCAATTCCTGCCCCGGTTTATTGTGCGTTTCACAATGTCCGAGTCCTTTTGCCCACAATTGATGTTATTGATGTATATTGAAGATGCGGATATCGTTTGCTCCAGAGCGAAAAACCATTACGATCCCCAGGGAACAATTGATTTCTCGGATAGCGCAACTAATAACGACTCTGCTCAGGCTGAGACAACTTTGGAGGCGTTCCGCAAGAATTTCAAGCCGCTCAATGAGGCTCAAAAGAGGTTGATGTATTTCTCAGTGAGTTTCCTCTTCACAACGACTGTTATATGGTTCTGTCGCTTATTTAGTTTCCAGTAATCCTGTTTAACTCTATCCGTCCGGATTTATTGCTATGTGCTGTGTTATATGGTGTTGTCAATATGTTGTGCTTGATCCAAAATAACAATGTGTATAATACTGTACTTCATATCATATTGTACATACCTACGTTGTCTCTTAAAGTCAAGTTCTATGCTGTCTTGCGCTAGTCTTCATGATGAGTACTTGTACTTGGACGCTTCACCTCTCAATTCCGGACTATACTATGGTAAGCAGCACACTATAAATAAGACAACAGATGAGAACAAATCAAGCTAGTCTTCCATCATCTCTCCCACCCTCAAGCCAATGTTCACAGTCATCGCAGCAGCAAGAGTGAAACAAAGCAGTGTTGGCCCATACTTGTCATAATAGAGTCCTTCTGCCCTTCTCGCCCTCAATCTATATGATCGATAAATGAATACCCCGGCCGAATAAGCAATTGCAATGAGAGCACAAAGGGTAAACAACGCAGCGCTGATCAGCCCCCGTGAATCCTCCGGAGATGTAAAATTAAGGAGGGTAGTGGCAATTGTTCCGATGAAAACCGAGATGTTCAGCCATTTCTGTTGTGTTCACGGAAACTTCAAATTTGTCGCAAAACTGGAAAATTGTGAAAACGCACCAAAAACGTTCTTTCAGCAGCAAAGTATACCTTTGGCTCAATCCGTACTGGTATAGAAATGTGCTTTCCTACAGGTGCGCGCCAATCTCTAGATAGTAGGCGATTTTCACCCGAGGAAGCTAGTGCGTCCTCCTCTCCATCTGCGTCTCTGATGGCGCCGTCATTCGCCTCGTCTTGTAATTGGTTTCTGAATGTCTCATCGAAAGCCGAAGATGGCGCCAGAGGGTTAATCGGAAGGGCATTGAGAGCAGAGCGCGTTTGGCTGAGACTTCGATCTTTAGTTTTCACCAGGAACGGTGTTCTCTCGTCTGCAGTCTCATCGGTATCCTCCACTGCATTTTCGTCGGTATTATTAGGCACAGAGCCATAACAGCCTGGATTCGGTTTCTTGCCGTCCGCAACTTCCGTTTGTCTCCTTTCCCTGAGCATATTCTCCCGATATGCAACTGCCTCCGCAACTTGGGTTTCCGTCAAACCCGTACGTTTATCCTCGTCGCGCGCAGGTGCACGAAGCATGTCGGAATCATCCTCGTCTTCCGATACAGGCTCGGTGTACTTTTCTGCATGGGGTGAGAGGTCCCGCGATGCAGATCCGGAACCAGAAGCAGCAGAAGACCCCTTGGACAAATGCACAGGACGCTCAATAACAGTGAGGTAACCAGTGTCGGGTTTTAGGATATCGGTGTCCACTAGACGTTTTGAGAAGGCATGTCAGATTCAGTATTAGCCCCAGCATCCTAGGGAAATCAGCCTACTTTGTGGAAGCCAAAATGGTACCAGATCTACACGGTTAGGAAGCAAAGTTGAGCAACCGTGTATGAATTTACTGTATCGCCATTCGTTTCAATATTCGTAGGCCAAAACCAAAACCACAGCATCAATGCTTACCTGAACTTTGGCACGGCTTCTACCAGATGTGACTGAACGAGATCCGTCACCCATTGTGGAGGTTCCTGTCCTAGCTGTGTCTGTAATTTTACTTCTAGAACACCATATCTTGAAACGAAAGCGATAGAAGCAAGTATCGTTAGTCGTTCGTTCAATTCATAGTTCTTCATCCAGACCGGGAGCACTCACTTGAACAGTTCTTTGTCATCGGGTGGAAGTTGTTCGAAGGGCCAGTCAATACCAATATCCGTCCGTCGCCAATTGTCACCTGAGCGCATTCGTCCATCCCAGTTGTCTTCCCGAATCATAGTAAGTTCGGTATCGAGTGAAATTCGCACTCGAGCGTCACCGGGAAGTTGGAATGCTGTTCGATTGCAGAAGGTTCGCATTACTAGTAATATGTGCATTGAGCTAATGGAACAAACAATACAGAGAAAATACGGAGAGCGTCAGATTACTTACCGGGGACCAACTTTTTTGTCAGTACTGCGTACTGCACCTCATTCGCTAACTGAATCATACTATCCACGTCCTGTTGCGTCTTCTTACCCTTCGCAACCAGCTGTTGGAAATCTTCATCGACTGTGTATTCACCTCTGAGAAACGCATTGACGAGGTGTTCCTTGACAGGGAATCGAGCTTTGACAGATTTTTCGCCAGTCCAATCCTCACGGTGCGTTTTACGTTCGACGAAAACCTGCGTTGTGGATCGTATGAGTAAGATGACAAATGGAGAAAATGACGACGGTAAGTGAAAAAGGAGGTCATTCGATAGTTATTTGAGCTCACAGTTTTGACGTCGGTGTCACCGTACCACCTGAGCCGGATAGCTTCTGCGCCTTCAGTTTTCTCCAAACGACCGAGGTAGAGCTCGAGGTCTTCGTTATCGAAATATATTGAAGTGATAGCTGAAAGATCGGGGTTGAGGGTCTATCAGGAGGATGCGCAAGAACAGTCAAATAGAGTACTAGAACGAACCGGAATCTTTTTGCTCGAAATCTTTATCGGAATTGAACACTGCAACGAGACATTGTCAATTCAACCTGAGGGCCAATGAGAAAGAGCAGTTTAAGCGGACCTAGCACTGGTAAATTCCTCAAAATAGCCAACTTGAGAGCAATGAGATTATCAGGATGGACCTTCAAATTAGGCATGAGCAAACAAACGCCTTTTCTTGTTTGAACCTCAATATATGCAAAACACCATACATACCCAGTACTTTGTGGTTTGTCTCACAAATGCACTCTGACTTCCGCCTGCACTTGCATCACCCTGTACGGGATGCCCACGGGTTCGAACAAGATCGTACAGCTTCGACAGTTTGACAATAAGAGCATCCCAGTTATATTTGTAGAATGGGCGCTTTTCGAGATATTCCGGAATAAATATGGGTTTGAGGAGGAACGATGTTTGTTTCTATGGGGGAAGAAGTATGCTGGATGAGGCTGGGCAGGTGAAGAGAACAAAAAGAGCTCACGTCGTGTTTCTAACAGTGAACGGATCCAGTCAATCAGAATAACTTTGATAAAAGAATGAAGAACCTTCAAAATTTTCATAAATCCAGTGATATTCAACTTGGTATATAATGCCAAGTCATGAACGTCCGCTACTAGATTCGCAACCTCCTCCTCCAGCAAATGAAACCTATTTTCGAGGGCGTCAAAAGATTCATCATCTGTCTCTCGGCCGTCAGATTCATCTTCATCATCCGAGCCTTCGTCCAAAACGTGATGGGATTCGCGTTGTTGGGATTCCGGATCTTGCCTTGAACGTGTGTGTCCGGATTGGTCGAGCTGTTCCTCTTCGAGCGCCCCAGAAACAAGTTGCTTTACGTCGCGTTCTGCATCCGTGATGCGTCGAGAGAGTTCAGACGTCTAGAAGTCCGAGAAAAAATGAGAGGAGTTGGATCATATGTTTGTGGACAATAACATACCTTAGCCCTCTGAAAATTATGTATTTTATCTAACTCTGCTTCGAGTCTCTCCGTGAATTCACGTTCGTCTTTGTCGTCCCACGAATGAGAAGTTGTGCGGTCCTAATAAGAAAAAAATTACAGTCAGTGGGATATAGACAATTGTTGGTTAACGGGCCAACCTTAAGTTCTCGCTTGAGCGAGTTATAGTCCAAGTAGAACGGGCGCCATTCATTGTACAGATCCGTCTAACATGTTAAAGTTCATTAGAAGGAGGAAAGCTTTCCCCGTAAACCGAGGATACCTACGCTGATCTTTCGGCCAAACTTCATCGTTACTGTGGAAGCCGTTCTATATTCTCAACAGGCTCAGCCAATCGAGAAAAGCTAGAATTTAGTTTGTAGCGAACGTGCGTAGCCGTAAGCGCTGTATTCAAACGGATTCCGGAACGGCATTTCCGGCCAGTCGCGACGCGTTCGATTTGACGCGTGAGCAATTGCTCTTGCACGACCTCACATGAGCTCACATGTCCTAGTACTGTCAAGACTTCCGAAATACCTACTAATGTACCACGTTATCTTTTTCTCACTACCATCGTCTCAAGCTTGAATTCTGTCACCTATGGTGACAACAGGATTCGTTGATTTTTCAATTATCCGGCCGAACTCGAACCTGTGACTCGAACTAGGATTTACACAACCGACTTGAACGCTGCTTTTGCTACTACGATGGACTGCAGTGCGCAATCTGGCCTGGTATCCATTGCGAGGATCGTATCTATATATGTCTGCTTTGGAAGAGGAGCAACTTCAATACTAACACTAACCGAGGAAGGGATTTCGCACAGCACGTCTCAGCAGTAGGGACCGCTTCAAATTTGACGTTGAGTCTTAGCTTGGCATATACATAGATGTTTGTTGCACTTCTAGTAATGCTTTATATTCAGGCTGAGGGTCTCAACCTAGATAAACTAATAGGGAGGTTATCTCTTTCCGATTCTCGAAAGTTTGTCAATGTTGGCAGCCGCTCAAATTCTTCTGATTCCCCGCTGTCTCTCGCTATACGCTAGTCATCGGTAGAGACGACATACGTGCAGTCGGCTCTTCAAGTCAAATTTTCCATGTTTGGTGACTCGTCGGCGTTTAATCCGTACTTGGACCCTCAATGTGGTTAGTCGTCGGGGAAATGCACGAAGGCTCGCAAGGTGTGACCATGCCTAATTAGACCTTACCTTGTATACGGTTGTCGAAGTCAGGACGTGTATGCATCAATATCAGGGCATGCTAGTATCCAACAACGAACCTCCTATGGCAAATGAACAGCGCAACCTATATAAGTAGATGGGTCTATGAGCAGCTTCCACTCAAGGGGGTGCTCAAATTTTACTGGTACCGCTGCCATATTTATTGATTCAAATAGCAAAGCGCTGAGCGCTGAGCTAAATACTTATGAGCGGCCAGCCTGGTCAACCTCAGAGCTCATTTTCAATCAGTTTGCATAACAGTGATGATGCGTTTTTGTAAAGATTTGGAGAAAATGCCTGCTCGCTGCACAAATAAACCAAAGAGGAGAGCAATAAAGCTGCTAAATGAGGTAGTGGCTCCAGCGCCTCATTAAGCGCCAACGCCCAAGCATGTGCATTTGTATTGAAGTCAATTTACCGTTTGCACCGGGAATTCGTTGGCTACAGGTATCTTGCGCCCAAACTTTGTTGGCTATCTTGCGCCCAAACTTTGTTGGCTATCTTGCGCCCAAACCACCATGTTCTTTGCCGCTTTTGAGGATATAAAAGCCCTTGGACTGACAAAAAGCATTCTCCTGGCTTTCTTTCTCTCTTTCGACGTCAAAAATTTCCTTCAACTCGCTTATTACCAAGGTGTAACATAAATCCCCGACCTCAACGGTCAAATACGCCATTTGGTGTATAACCCGGGCTACGGCTCGTATACTTCACTGAGATCTTTGTCCAACCCTTCAAAGGTAAGCATTTATTATCTTTTGTCATGAAGATAACGCTGACTGCCTTTTTCGCCGTTGTAGACTCGTAATTTGTAGCTGACGATGACATGGTTGTGAAGCCAAGCCTATTTTGGTAACTCCGATGAACCCCAAGTCCATATGGTCGCCGGTGCGTACTCACCAAAATAAACCGAAATTGAAAGGATTGACAAGTTGCTGAAATCCTCACCCTAGAGGATTTGTATTCAATAAAAATCTAGAGGGAAGCCTCATTTTAACCAGATGCAGATAATAGTACAAAGGAGGTTATACGCGATACATGGTAGCCAACGAGAATTATTTTAAGGTGGGTAAATATGTTGAGGGTATAACTATTCTGAAAGTCTGAAGCATAGTCGTCAATTAATCATAACAAAAGCAAGTTCAAGGCTCGATCCCGCATTGTTTCTCGCCAGTCCACTGTCCCTCCTGAGACGTCCCGTTTCTGCCATACCGCTTCCATCAACAATCTGGCTTTCATCAGATTTCCTATGCTCTCATCCTGAGCCTGAAGCCTTCCTTTAAGGAAGTCTCGATGGATAAGATCATCTGTCATACAGGCCGCTAGACATATAGGAAAAACTATCACACGATCGACATTCGAAGGCTGCAACTGGTGAATTAGTTGGACTACCCCGTCCACAGAGACACTAATGTCAGATACCCCTGCAAATCGTTCATTACTTGTCAACGACTATGTAATAGGAGACGGAGAGGATGGGGCTTACCAGGATTAGAGTCATGAAGAACCGTGTGAAGATACAATAAGGCAGTCGCGCGGAAGATGCTGGCAAGTAGTTTCCGCACTTCCTCATTTGGAAATATAACATCCGTTATTGAAGGTTGTAAGAGGTTTGGGTGCAGTGGCGCATCCTTCTCGAAGACAGGGGTGTCGGGTCTCTGGCGCAAGCGCTGTTCAACAATGTCCCCTCGATGGATAAGCTCTCTATAGTTTAAGGTCCCTTTGATTCGTTCCATGCTTTTCCAGTGAGCTAAAGCGGAAATCTCCGCGATCGCAAGCAGGGCGTCGTCAGGACAGCCCGTCAATGTTTCCATTGGAAGAGCTTGGGGGTGGGAGGGATTCACATCTGTAGACCATGCTGAATGGCTCAGAAGGCGTTGGTATAACATAAAATATTTGGGTGGGCGCATCGAGGTTAAACTAGCGAAGATATCTATCCACTGCAGAGGCAGATCAGTATTGTGAGTTTCATTACGATGGAAATTGAGCAACTAACCATCGTGCCTTTGACAGCTATCTGGGCCGAAAGGGACATGGTGTTCAACACTGATCTCGGGTCTTCTTCGTCCGGTAAACCAATTTGAGATAGCCAGTCCGATGCGATGCTGAGCACAGGCGTCCAGTCCATTGATCCTCCCGACATCTGCGAAAAGTAGACGAGATGCAATGCCGCGATGACGTCGCTTTCGTTGTACTGGCCTCGGATTTGCTGGGCATTGGCTAGTTGGAAATACGACTCGTCGTAAAAGTATTTTGCCGTCGAGTGATCAGGATTCGGGTCTGGTGCTTCGAGGCCTTCTGCTACTCTCTTTCGAGTGAAATGCAGACTGGCGAGTGCACATACGGCGTTCGTTACAGCTCCTCGCGGCTCTTGGACAATTAACTGCACACATTAGAAAGGAGGTTTCGAATGTGGTCCACAACTCACCGAATAAACTACGTTTGTTGTTGTGTTTCCCGCGAACAGGAAGTGGGCAGAACGAACGTTCTCAAAGTAATACATTACATGATTTTCCTGTATAGAATTTTGGTTGGAAACCACAGGGAAATTCAGCTCTGGAGGTGCGTGTACATTAAACTCAAACCCTCCGTTTGTTTGATGTTGGTGAAGGTTAACGACGGAGGAGATATCGTAGTCGTTGGAATCCAGGCCGAGATTCGGAAGTGTGGCTACTGGGGGGGACTGGAAGTATGAGCAATTTAAATCAAGATCGTTGAGATGTGGGTCACTGAAGGAAGCAGCGGGTAGCTGATGGAAATGCGGATTCGATGCACCTATATCAAACATGTGAGTCATTTTTCATCATATTGCGCTCTGGTCGTGGAGAACATACCGGGGACTCCGGGCAGAAGGGCTTCATGTCGCAGATGGTGTGGGTCCATGTATGGACTGATTCCAAAACCAAAATCAAGGCCCAATCCCAGAGAAGGTGAATTGGAGGGGCTGTTCGTGGTCGTCGCGGGAGCTGAGTAACGGTGCGTGTTCATTGGCCGTGTCCTCATCGGTCCCGTTGCAGCTGCGGCCTGGGCTTGTAGCATAGATGACCGCGGTTGACCCCGTATCAATCCTGCACGCGTCAATTGGGCTTTGATATCAGCCTTGTAAGCTTCTACGGCTTGCTTATCCTAGGTAAAGGGAGAAGTCAGTTCAATATGTCAACATGAACAATTCACAGGACCGACTGACCCGCATCCACTCTGGTCGTTTGGGCCCCCATCCCAGGCATTCGATCGTCAAACGTATACAAGTCCTGCATGAGTCACCTTCTCTCTGTTCGTCGCATTTCTGGTGAAGATAAGTCAATAAGATTGTTCAATGTCATGATAGCGAACGTACTTTGCGACGAAGTCGGCATGTCCTATGTATCTTGGTCATTAATTTCCACGCACAAAAATGATCTCATGTCAACACTTACCAACATCCACCTTTACTAGCCACTTGAGTTCGGGGTAAATCGACTGCGTTGCGATTTGGAGACGTTCGAGCACTGCTATTTTTTGAAGAAGTTCCCGGAGAGGGTGCCATCAAAGAAGTAGGCCGAGATATAGGAGAGAGACTAGATGAGGATGTTGCTGGACTAGTGCTCATAGATTTTGAGCTTCGACGAGACAAAGTCATTGTGTATATAGTGATGTGGTGGTAAAAAGTCAGGTCGGATGGGATGTGTGATCCTACTTTAAAGGGAACTTTTCGTATGTTGGGACTGATGGTGGATTGGTAGTAAAGGGTCTCAGCAATTACAACGTGTTTATACGAGGGAATGAATAGCCATATGAAAGGAGATGTTAGGACTCTGGGTTGATGGAGACTTGTAATCAAGTCGTCGTGTTATTATGCAGAGATTTAAGGGATATAGAGGACCTAGGAGAGGCTAGGACGGTGTACTTACCGGTGTAGGTAATTGCGAGGCAATGCGGCCTTGTTTCGGCAAACAAGAAAATGATCGGCCAGTTGAGCATGTGTAAAATCTTGAAATATCATATCTGGATCTATACTCAGAAGAAGCTACTCCGTAGAATTTCCTGTCACTATCCTTGGGTATCGGGCCTGCCCCACCCACTCTGAAGCTCAAACGCCAAACGGCAAAGAAACGAAACCGTGATCCTTGCAAATCTATGATCGTTCGTTGCCCACATTCTTTGAACCGCAGACAGTAAAACCGACGTCAGAAACCCCATGACGTTCAGCGATTCTCTCGTTCGCAGTCGTTGCCACAATTAACTTTCTGTCCAATCTTCGTTGCTCAAGCTCACAGCGACTGACAACTTAATTGTAGTCCGCCTTTTCCGTTGCTCAAGGTGACGTCGGCAGTGACTGACTACGTCTACTAACGACAAGGACGTTGAGAGAGTTATTACACATCTCATCTTGGACTGATGTTGCCACTACCAGTATTATAATTAGGCATTAGGGGAATTTAATTCATAAATCCGAATTTGAAGGATTCGGATCTGTAGGTGTACCCCACTTTGGAGATACATCCAGTGTCGGGCTCGTCGTCGCAGGCTAGCGCTGACTCGCAGCCGACGAGGTCCAGGGTCCTGCACGACGCGGATCTCCGCTTTCCGGTATCCGATAACTATCACTATAGATCACAGGGAGATAGGATACGGATTTTTCAAGTCCTGTAACGCATACGCATCCTTGAGGGAAAGTTGATCGATAACGAACATGGTTGCAACTGCCTGGTCGGTAGGTAGGAACCACCGAAACCGAGGAATGATCCATCATTTTCCATAAATGATTCATGTTTACAACGTCGTTTGGGCGATCGCAGAATGTAACTAAAAATGACTGGATATTGGGTCGTTATGAGTTACATTAATTGTACAAAACGGTAGCACGTAGCATATGCAGATGATACCAGGTCATAACCGAGAGAGCATGGATTTGGACATGAGATGACTGAGTGGAAAGCAAGAAACAGAGATTTAGAAATTTTACCAGAAATTTACAGACAGAGGTAAGGTTCCAATTATTGAGATTACAAACAAACAAGGTCTTCACGTAGAGAGGTAAGCATGTGTCTGGTTGGCTGGTTTGACTTCTCAAACCAGCAGCATTCTCGATTCGCGAAGTATCGATCTCCAAGGAACTTCCTTGGGCTTTTGCGACCCTACATGTAGATTTTGAAGTAGATCGAGGATACCACGACAATTCCCTACTTCGCCTTCATCCTTCAATTGTTTGAGAAGGAACGCCCGTTTGGTTGGCTTGGTGGTGAGGGCAGCGCAGACGAAGAAGGCGAATACAGTGCTGCGCACGACAACGTGCTTGACATTGACCTTGGACTCGGCAGCCACTCGCTCCAAAGAGACAACAGCATCATCAACGGCTTCGCTGATTTCGCGTACAAGTGGATGGTCGCCTGAGACAATAGTACGGAGATAGACGATAGCAGAGGTGCGGAAGACCTCCGAGGCTAACAACCGAGGAACATCGTCTTGGGTTCGCGGACGTAGAGGTGTAACTGATGGTGCGAGGTGCATTTCTATATCTTCAGCTCTTCTACTGAGTTCGACGATACTAAGGGACCCGCTTTTCGCGCGGTGTTCCTTCCATACATGGAGCTCGGATATTTTTGCCAAAGCCCAGACGATGCGATTTTCACAACCCATAACCGATAACATGGAAAGGGAATCAGAGTCATCTGAAATTTCAGAGAGTCCACTTTGGTTGGAAGGATTGTAAAGCTCGTGAATGACTTCTACAAAGTTGGGTTTTTTCATCGTCGTCACAGAGGCAAGGACATCAAACCAGAAGGTGGTTTTTATGATGAAGCGCTCCTTGTCTGTAGAGTTCATAAGAGCATCACGATAATCCAGGAATCGACTGCGGTCATTTAGGATGCTGTTTGAATAAACGGAGGCAACATGAAGCCATCGTTCCCAGTCACCGTTACCGCCGTCAAAGAGGAAAGTGGATATGATGTTCAACGCTGCGAGAGCATCGTCGTCGTCAAATTGTTCCTTTGCAAAGCTAAACATCTGGAGAAGCTCGTCATAGCGTTTGCGCGTCTGAACGTCTTCAAGCGCTTGTGCCATAGGCGCCTGCGAGCGCTGAACATGCACTAAGGCCAAAATACGCGCAGCGTTTCGGGCGACACCTTCCTTTTCAATGACATTTTTGAATATCTGAGGAAGGAAGTATTTGTCTGCCAGTTGGTATTGTAATGCGGCAACAGTATTCATGTAATGATTTGCCAACTCATCCAGATCACCGTCTGCAGTTAGTGGTCGCGTTGGATGAGTCTGTTGTGATGGATAGTTCTGGTCAGTTGGATCATCCAGGAACACTGCTGTGTACGAAGACCCAAAGCGACTGACAATTGTTGGAGGAACATTTGGCCGTAACTGTGACTGGGGTGGTTGTAGAGGGGGCGGAACAATCATAAAATGGTGTTGCGAAATTGCATATGGTGGATGTTGTATCATATTTGGAGTATACCCTGCCAGAAGGAGGGGAGTTGAGTACTTTACATGAATTTACAGTATTTAATATGGGTACAGGGGAGTCTTACATTGAGGGTTTACTAAGCTAGTGGAATTATTTGGGGGAAGCGCATGCAGGTAAGGTTCGTTGTGCGGAAAACCATCTTGAGTAGGAGCTCCAAAGGAAGGCGTGTTTCCAGCCGGGTGGCCGACCGGAGGCAGAACTGGGAACGAGAGATATCAGGTTGCTGCTAGCCATGAAACAAGGAAGCAGCTTACTCGAGTTTGGATGACCGGGATGGCCTTCAAAATTGGCTGGAGGACCACCGGGCGCTCCAGGAGGAGGATATGGCCACTCTTCACGGACGTTGGAGATAGGACCTTGCCGTACGATTTCATCAGTAAGTACGAGGAGCTGCGATGGGGGGCTCTCGGTAGGTTCGTTGTAGTTCTGGGTGGAGAGATGGAGAGTAGGAGGTTCCTGTTCAGGAGCACGAGGACCAGAGCCAGAATGGCCCTTGATCATGCCTTGAGAGGCAAGAAAAGACTTGATTTTATCACGAAGCTCAGTAACATTGTTGCTTTCCTACGAGCACCAATACAGAAAGTGAGATACGGCCTTATCAGGGTTAGAGACCTTGGATAACGTACTCTGAGCCAGTCTGGGCGTTTGGCACCAAAACCGAGGCACTGAAGACGAAGCCGAAGGCAAGTCTCGCATCGTCCCTCAGCATCTGGGCGCTCATCGCATTTCTTCCCAACGCCACATCATTAAAAAAGGCAGTAAAAATAGAGGAAAATCGGAGGAAATGATTAGCGACGATTCCTTGAGGAGATTGAGGGTATACAAGTTACCTTTCGACGGATTCTGCACGTGTAGCAGCCAGACTTAGCGCGCACAGCGCCTTTAGCTTTGGGCGCTCCGGCCTTCTTCGTCGTCGGTTTGGGTGAAGAGGCGGGAGGCATCTTTGAGGGCGATATTAAAAGGCTAGGACGATACCGGGACTACTAGTAGTAGAAAAGAGGAGAGAAAGGGAGAGCAAAAACCACGATTGGCAGAGCGAGGCGAGCGGCACTAGATGCTTTGAAGAAAAGGCTGGCGTTTATGTATGGCGCTAATAAACGACAAACGAAGACCTTGTTTACACGTCTTTGTAGCTTTTTGCGAAAAACTCTTTGTCAGCGCGGTGGCTGGGGTCCTTCCCTCTTTGGACATCCTTTATCCTGCTTTATCTCATTCCGAATCAACGCAGATTCTAAAACAGACTAAAGAGTATTCCCACCAATATTCAATGAATGCTACACCAAATAAGTATGTATTCGAAAGAAATTAAACCTCTTTTTTGGCTTGTTGGATTCCAAAAGATTATTTCATGACAATGCATTGACGAGGCAGTGGTCTCCCTTCACAGGTATATGCTCCAGGCACTGCACACGAAAAGACCAGTGTTGGAGGAGCTTGAGCGTTAGAGCTTTAGAGGGTCAAGGGTGGGTGCCATTGAAACAGGATTTTCTCACAAACCGTCCTCGTCGGTGGTGCAGTAAGAACTTCAGTGCTTGCCTTCATCCCTACAGAAGTTCGAAGTCCAACATCACATCAATTCCTGAGTCCCAACTCAGGAAATAGATGTACCCTTCCATCTTGTCTAAGATGGGCAAATGAACGAAGGGTTCACCCGCCTTCAACGGGGTTGTAGTGGTGTTTTCACCGAAAACACAAGTTATGAAACTTCCATATCAGCCAGGAAAGAGCGTATACGGCGACACCACCTCGATTGCACCGTAGCAACAGAAAGGGTTGCCTTTGATCAATTGGAAGCACAAAAACTTGGTATAACCTATCGTACATTGTTTGGATTTAGAATAATAAGAAAAGATTTCCAACTTTGATGAATACAGACAGATTTTTGACGGCAGTATAGAAAATCAGTTCCGTGTAGTAGAAGTGATAGAAATGAGAGGTGGAGAGAGAGAGAGAAAGATGGATGGTGGACAATGAAACTTAATGGAACGGGAGAGGCACGCGGAGTGCGTACCTGTGCGTACATAACAACTTATTCCAAAAAGATGTGGAATGAAGAGAAGTGCAACCAAAGACGAATAAGATTAAGGATACGTCTGCGAAGCACCTTTACGATTGCCCAGTAGAAGAGACTTCCTCGCGGTTGGTCCCGGATCCACCGCTTGCACTCAATCTTCGCACTTTGCCTTTGATTCCACCAGAAGTCGTGAAGCCAGAACTATGTGGACTTGTATCCGGATTCGATGCACCTCCTGATGGCGGTGCCTTTGCGGTATCACCAGAGAGTGAACGACGTGCAATCAGTGCACGAACAGCACCTAACCATTTAATCTCGTCCTCCTCAGTAGGCGCGCACAGTAACAAGGTTCTTTTGGTTGTTATTATTTTGAATGTATGGGCAGTGGATGGTCCTTCACTGCCACCGCCTTCGAAATTGGGAGGTGATGATACCGAAGGAGGATAGTGTGGACGATTAGAGACGACGTCGTATTCGAGCGCATCTAGAATGTCGGAAAAGGGAAATTGGCGATGAGGTTTAGTATCCTGCAAGCAGACAAGATGGTGAACATAAGATCGTGTAGAGCCATCATGCAATATAAACATACCATATGGCTAGCCGAATATATCAGTTTTTCTCCAGACATAACAAACCAGCGTTTCCGCCAATTTCGTCTCTTGGACCCACACTTCATCAAGTAGCCAGTCAGCACTACTTTACTAGGGTCCTTCGGTGACGCAGAGGGCTGTGACTTTGAGGGCGAGAAGCCGATCACAGGTCGGGTTTGCGATGATGTCGAATATGTACGTTGTGCTGATTGTGCTGACGGCGAAGCATCTTCCGAGTCGGACGAGGTGGCATTATGGGAAACAAACGAAGGAGGGGAAGGTGTTATCGGCAGAGGTGTGGAAGGATGATTCGACGCTCTGGGTATCGGTATAGGCGCAGAAGTCGAAGTTTGAGTTGAAGAAGCGTGCAAAGCCTGTCGAGCCTCTTCAATTGCGGTCACCCATTCTTGAACTTCAGCGGGAGTCTTGGCTTGAAGATAGAACGTTCGCACAGGCGAAATTAGCCCAAAGGCGTTTTCGTGTTTCTTGAGTGACACTTGGGTGCAGGAGTGCACATCGCTGAGTTCAAGCAACCGCAACAACTGGTATTCTGCTGCCGTCTTATAATACGCGAGATGTGCCGGCCTTAGCACAAACCAACGCTTCTTCCACGTCTATAAATGATATTGAGGAGTGTTTTGTAAGTCAAAAAGGAACAATTCGAACCTTTCTCCGCTCGCCCTTCTTCCAGAGATATCCAGTTTTGATCACACTTTCATCTATGGAGCCTTGAGCATGACCCTCGCCCACTTGTGCAGTTTTCCAACCGCCTTCTCCTTCATCGTCATCATCTTCGGAATCCTCGCCACTTCCTGACCGACGTTCAGCGATGGACGACAGCGGTTGTTGCTGCAGAGAACCAGGTAATATTGTCCCAGATGCACCAGAAATCATGCCTGATGGAGAAATATTCCAGTCTGGCGTTGGGATAGAGTCAGAATCGGACTCGTTGCCAGATACAGTAGGAACAGTAACAGGCGGCGGAGGCTATATACGGGTAATAAATGACTTAGTGTCTCAACTCCCGTTTGGATTTTCGACTCACTTTGCTGTTTCTCGCTACTGATGATATAGACAGCTTACGGTGAACTTCCTGAGGAGATGGTGGTGCGGCTGAGGGCGACATGAGTGGTCACAACGACGGACGATGGTAACTGCTCATCACCACGTGATAAATAATGCAAGGCAGGCTTTATACAGAGGCTTCTTGTGACATTGGCACATCAAAAACCTTCAAAACAGTTCAGAACGTACTATTATAGACTCATATGCGAGCAGCCGAACGGGGCAGACACTGATGTAGGTTTCCTTTATTTTTCGGTGATCTAATGCGCAGAGTCAGACGTTTCCGAGTCAAAACTATAAGTGATATTGAGGGTGACACGAGCGTATCAGGATGTATTTGTTGTATACATCGACGTCTCAGGCATGTATGAACCGAATGAAAAGTCCCAACCAAAATATCTATCCGTTCCTATCATCTATGCCCAAATCCTCTCTGTTATTATTCATTGTCCCTCTTACTGGCTCCCCGACATAATATCTTCGTGGCGAACCTAAACGACTCCTGCTATCTAGGACTAAGTCAGCTTGGGGAAGGAATATGTTGCGGAAAAGTGGTTGTCGTACGGTTCATATGATATTTGCACTGGCCTATATACCCAGCTCGTAATTGGAAATATACTTTGCGTAGTACCTGCAAACTACTTCCACAGCATGACATCCTACATTGCTCGGATATAAGGGAACGGTGAACGTAGCAGAGACAACACAGACCATCGTACTGTAAGTTCTAGTGTAATCGTATCACAAAAGAGGAAACTTAGCGGAGCGACGCTGGGGCGGATCAGTATTAAGCGCTTCATCAGATATAAGGAAAGCGATCGCCGATAATCGATGGAAATCGAATCACGAGCCTTCGCAGATTATTCCCCCAAAATCTCCGTACCCCAAAATTACATCTTCTTCTTGTGCATCCATCATGTCCCAAGCTCAATTCGATAAAGCTGTGGAGATTGTTCGGCTTCCCAAGGGAGACAGTCCTATTCAGCCCTCGCAAGAGGACCAGCTTTTTGTGCGTTCCCCATGTCAAGAAATTCTTATTCTAAACGAATTTTTCCACTATCGTTGATACAGTTCTACAAGCATTTCAAGCAAGGTTTGCCTCGTTTACATCCTCTCACATGTTCTCAATCTTACCATCCATCTTGGGTAGCCACCGTTGGAGATGTCAATACCCCACGTCCAACTGGATTCACTGATTTCAAAGGTAAAGCTATGTGGTATGTTCAGGTTTCACAGCGTTATTTTCCCAGCCAACCTGAACTTTAACTATCCTAGGGATGCTTGGAATAGTGTCAAGGGAATGTCGAAAGAAGATGCTCAGAAGGCATACGTAGATAAATTTAAAGAGGCAGGTCTTCTGAACTCGTCCATGATCAATAGCGTTGTGTTTTTAAAAGTCACTTTCTCCCGACGCAGCTGGCAGGAACCACAGATAAAGGGAAGGACTTTATTGCACAGGTCGATGCGGCGCAGTAGTTTTGCACTCTTCGATCTCCGAAATCTTAGAAACCATGTACAAAGAGTATCGTGCAATCAATGTGTGTACAAGTACGGTACGGTCCCAAGTTTTCGGCGTAAGGAACTACTTCAAGTCCGATGCTTCTCTTATTCTTTCAAGTACTGGTCAGATTCTCCCAAAAATACTTAGTTCAAATGCCTCGGTACTGCCTTGACCTTCGAGCTGTTGAGCGAGAGAGCAAATGAAAATAAACTATGATCGAGGAACAGAAACACGGCCACCCACTTCTCATCACTCGCCGGGTTTCGAATTCTGTGGACGTGTGGGCGTCAGTCAGTATCTTTTCCTTGTAAAAGGGACCTCGAACACCCAAATAAAATCAACAGGACTGATGCGGAAGGTGTGTCAGTCCAATTCAAGTTACTTCTTGTGGCGCAAAAGTCATTTTTAGCGACGGGGGAAAACGACGAAAGGTGTGCCAGACCACCACGATGCTTGAGGTGTCTAAGTTACACCGTAAGTTGCATCAACTTTGATTCCTTCTATACCACAACAACATTTGAATCCTTCTCTACCACAACTCGATTTAGAGATCTGGTATCAAGTACGATGAATAATACTGCGCTTGACCCACAATCCTACGCCATCCAGTGGCCTGGGTTCAAAACGATCGCCCATTGCAACGTTGCACACAAGAATACAAGGCTTCCAGGCTACATGCTTGCTGTTTTATTTCATTAAATCCTTACTCAAATCTGCGATGTTTCCGGGCGTCTGGTGGGCGGCAACTACTGCCGCATTCTACTAACCTTCACTCCGCGAATCGTGTTCCACTTGAGGTGGGAAGGGAGAGATAGCCAATCCTAAATGGATGTTCTCGCCCTTCTAATCGCAGCCTGTGACGTCGTGCCCATATAACGTGCGTTGTTATGATCCTTCCCCCAAGTGGACGATCCAGTGTGTATTTCTGTCTGCCTAGATGCCGCGCTCTGCACGGCGGAAGACCATCTAGTAGTTCTCGGTATTCATACTAGTAAGCGAGGTACAACAGCTACTCCCAGTCGGAAAGATGCGTCAATGAATCCGCGTAAATAATTTCGAGACATGTCTAATACACATCTTTCATTGCTCGAGTCCGAGTCTCCTTGGCCTCCCAAGGCTTAGAGTTTGATTCTAATGAATCATCGCAACTCGGGGGGGCTCAGATCTGTCAATTTTCCATCAACAGACAGAATACAGCAAAGTTTGAGTAAAGTAAGTAGGTGGGTTGAAAGTCATTGACTCCCTATCACGATGATTTTCATTCAACTAACTGCTTCGAAAGCCAAGTTCCGCGTACTATTTCCTCCATTTCTTTGGGCTGTTGAATGTAATGAAGATCAAAACAATCTACCACTCATAATTCGAAATCAATCAGTCACCAAGGTTCATGTTGGAGGTAAAGATTACAGATAACCAAGAGAACGCTGACTGCGTAGAGAGGCACTCTTGATACGAAGCGTCTGCTTAGACGATTTGTATATTTGGTAGGCCCTCACGGTCGTGATTTCTCCATGATCAAAATTTTCTCCTCGTAGGAACCTTTTACAGTGTTAGTACTTGTGCTATGAGTCTGAAACATTTATGTCACCATCTCCATATGGTCTTCGACAATTCTGCGGTTTGCGCACCCTTTGCTAAGATCTGTACGCATCCCCATGATCCACCGAAGTATCAATGTTCTTTGAATGGAGAAGGATCTGAGCGGTTTCAAGTTGGAATTCCATTGAATACTCGTATTTAGTTCGAATTACCCATCATGAAAATCTTGAGTAGCTGGGGTATAGGGTTCAAGAAAAAACTGCACAACAGCCAGTCTCCATTTTTAGCGTAGTACTTCATCGATTTACCTTTGGGTTACTGGCTGCATAGGGAAGCGAAGTGTTCAGGCCCCTCAGGGTCAGGCAAATTTGAGATAGCATTCTATGACAGTCTATAACTTATCCTGAACCCGCGTAATTTTTATTTTCTATTAAGTCTTTGGTAGTTTGTAGTCTGTGGATACATCGATAACTAGAACAACATGGGTCAAGCTAGGTAGATTTACATACAGTCTCAAATCAATTTCATTATCCAGCCACCTTGTTCGAACAATAAAAGGAAAGGGAGAAAGACGATCGTGGATGCGTCGTGAAAGTCATCAGATCAAACATTTAAAAAAACGTTAATAAAAAGGTTAATAAATTGTAGCTCGTCCGAATTTCAATCCGCTCTTTGCGAAGAAAAAAAAGGGCGAGTATACTGTAGATGGCTGGATAGTGAGTAGCGAAAGCGAAGAAGAACCTGATGTCCGAAAATTCAACACCTAAAATAAAAGCAGTGAAGAAAAACCTATGAGTATGAGAGTGAATCTAATCCTGCCGATGGTCTGGATTGGCTACAAAGAGGCTGGGCCGTGTAGTAAGCCCATAATTGACAAGAGTTTTTCTTTTGTTAGACCTCTCCTCGTGTTTTCGAGTGTTGGTTGGGGATGGAATAGACGGATCCTGGCTCATCCGCTTCTCATATTCTCGAATGCGCGCTGCAACTGCAGAGCCCGTTGGCGCACGGATAGGACGTGCGCCAGTGTTTATTGACGTGTTCGATGACGTGGCAGTGGTTGGTTGAGATACGGGAGGCGTTATCTCAGGTGAAGCAACTTTGGAAGGTAAGACAGGAAGTTCCGGAAAAATGATGGACTTTTGGAATGTCATTTCTACTGGAGATGCGACGTCGAAGGCAGACATATCAACCCCGTGCACAATACCTCGACCATCTTCAGGAAGCCATCCCGTACTGTTGCTATCATAACTACCGGTGCTGTCGTGAGTGCCATGACTACCTGTTCTTTCGCGTTGAACAACATCGACCTCTCCGGCCATGCGTTCAATTGCTTCAGTATCCGCGGTGCGAAGTGATGAAAGTGATTTTCCATGTTTCCCTTTGTAAACTTTGGACCCACTTCCCCTAGATAAAGCGCGTTTGATGGAACCGGCGGAATTGGATCTGTTTGAATTGGGCGAGTCGTGTTCCGGAGAACCAGAATGTTGGCTTTCTTCAATTGCGACAAGTCCACCTAATCGGGGTGGAGGATTTGGATCTCGGATATCTGGCATACCGCCTAATTGCTTTGAACCACTTGGCCCTCTGTCAAGAAGACTAGTACGCGAGAATCGCGACCACCATGAGTTGCTGCGTCGTACAGAATAAGAATCAGGATTAGGGTTATTGGCATCTAGAAGAGATGATGGTCGAGGACTGAAGGAGGTACGGGAAGTAACCTGAGAAATACTGTTGAAGGGACTAACGCTGTGCTCGTGCTCGTGCTCAGACACGGAACTCGTGTGGTCGCTCTGTGAATGTGTCGCGCGGGAAGCTTCCGTGACTGGACTAAGGCTGTGGACTTCAAGAGGTAGCATAGTTTGGATTTGAAGCGGTTGATTAGGTCGAGGAAAGGCTCGCCTAGACGAAGTTGAAACAGCGGGCAGCTCGGCGATAGCATTATCGTCACTGAAAGGATTTGAAAATGGGTCGTGATAGGTAGTTCCACCAGAGTAAGGTGCGATATCTTGCTCGAGATCGCTCACTGCACTCAATGTACTGGTATAACTAATACCCCGGTTATGGGATGGGCGACCGATAGAGCCGCTATATCCCCGTGCAGCGGCACCGACGAACCCTGTCTCATCGTCTCCCATCAGCGCCGCACCGTCTGAGAAGGGGTCGGATTTCTCTCTAAAAGGGGTTGCTAAGCTGGCGTAGCTGGACGAGCTGCCCTCACGGCCTCTGAGTTTCATGAAGCTCATCAGAGACCACGAACTGTCACCAGTATGATCCCTCTTCCGACGACCGTACCAAGGTCCGAAATCTCTAGTATCCTCATCGGCCAGCATATCCCTCCTTGCCGCGGTCGGGTGAGTTTCGGATAGGCCAACAACACCACCGGGTACAGCGGTGAGTGCTCCACCAACTTTAAGGTTCTTCAAAACATTCCAACGCTCGCTGTAAGGCCCTTTTTCTCCACTAGATCTAACAGCAGGAAGCCCGGCCTCCGGATCATTCTCGTTGAGTAACGAGAAGTGGTTTTCTTCAGCAGCATTGTTTCTCCTCCGTCTCACATAGTAAACGACAATTACGCCGGCCACCAAAAAAGCGAGAATTCCAAGAGCAGTTCCGAGAACGACCCCCTCGGTTTTCCCGTTGTTGCTGTCACTGTCGTTTGTTCCTGGGTCACCATTCCCCGGCTTGTTAGGATCGCCGGTGGACGTAGGTTGACCGGTACCAGTAACTCCAGTTCCTGACTGGTTATCTGTTCCTGTGCTTTGACTACCAGTGCCAGTGGTGATTTGAGTCGCCCCAGGAATACTTTGAGTGATACTAACAGATGTAGGTGAAGGTGCACTATAGGTTGAGGAGAAGGAACCTTCCCCAGAAGCACCGGACGGATCGTATATAATAAGAGGTATAGAAGCAGGTGCAGACACGCCGTACCCTAGTGAAGTTTCTTATCAGTGGGGTGTGTTGGTTTTAACGCGAAGGAAATGCTCACCGAACCCGAAAATCACGTCAGAGCCATAAGAAACGGCAAAGTGGTCCCTCCGTTGGCCTACTTGGGATAGGGCAGATACTTCTGACCAAGTTGGTGGATCCGATGTTAGATCCAAAGCCCATCCATCACTATATGTTGTTTGAAAGGTTGCATCGGATCCACCTTGTATAAGTATTTTGCCACCATCAATCAACACTGCGGCAAACGCTCGTCTTGAACCAGGAATAGTCCCTTCTGCGGTGACCACAGTCCACTCGAAAGACGAAGCCGTGGTATCTAGAGCCCAGATGGTTGAAAAATCGACCATAGAGGAGGAACTCGGTTCGTAGCCTCCAAACACAAACATAGTACCATTTGGAAGAATGATCGACGCATGACCTGTGATCCCGGGAGGTCCACTGGTAGGTAGTTGGGTGAAGGATGGAACGGCTGGGTCGAACGCATAGTGGTCTGAGAACGCGATCCCTGAACCGTCAGCCTTTTCTCCACCAACTATGAACACAACGCCCTCAATTGAAGTTACAGCGCTATGTCGAATGCGTCGGATTGGTTCATTAGCCCAAGACATGGCCTCTTGTATCCAGGATGGGACAAGCCGGTTGTAAACATTCAACAGCCATGCAGAATCTGCTTGAACTGTGAGTACAGTTGGTGAATTGATAGCTGGTACTCCGCCAAATAGGAATATTTCCGAGGTGTTGGTGGCAGATATCGTATGCCAAGCGACTGCTGGACCAGAAGATGTAGAAGAATTAGAAGAGCTGCTGATAAGCTGCCATGGAGGGGAAGAAGGGTTAAAAGAAGTTGATAAGGAGAGGTATAATAGGTCATCGTCTATGGGTGCTGTTGTATAGGAATATGCATTGTATTGGTCGGTTCTTCCGCCTTGGACAAACAATGCATCATTAATGATAGCTGTAGCCTGGCCCCATCTGTAGAACATATCAAGTCGAGAAGGCGATCAAAAGGACAATGGAAACATGCCTCGGTAGGGCAGTATAAGCAACTGCCTTCGAGGCGACTGTAGCGAAAAGAACGACAAGATATTGCAAATGCTCCCAGTTCATATCCAAGCAAGCAGCGGAAAATTTTCTTAGATTTTGAAGGTTGGAGCAGGAAACATGGAATTGTATTCGTGACGATGGTCGTGATCAGTTCGTGAAGATAGTGGTTTATCGGTATGTGATTTAGTGGAGTGTTCCTAAGGGAGTTCAGGGCCTTCAGGCACCTTCGCTTGGAAGCTTCCCACGTGGCGGCATTTCAACCAAGGAAATATAGCTTTGACCAAAAATCACTCGTAAAAACTGAAGACAAAATTCTAGAATTCGTTCAATCTATGTAACAATATATTCGTATGGAGTACATTTCGTAGTGCAAGCATGATTATAGTCAAAAAGTAATACCAGATAAGACAGTCCAGATGCAATAATTCCAACAACCAAAATCACGTAGAAGCTTGAGCAAAGGCAATAGCAACGTTCTATAACAAAAGCTTAGAATGCACATGGAAACAAAACGACAGTGTAAAAACATACCTCTGAATGACTCAGGGAAAGAAGAACCTTCGAAACACCCTTCTCCGAGGCCTTGGTTTTCGCCTCACCGTGCAACACCACAGTAGGAACCCCGTCCTTGTCGTTCACAATTTCAATGTCCTTCATCGGCGCAGCAGCTCCCTTGGATTTCACGCCAAGGGATTTGAAGACAGCTTCCTTTCCGACCCATCGTGCAGCGAATGAGGAGGCGGGAGATGGTTGTGCGCTACAGTAAGCAATTTCGGCGTCGGTGAAGTTTCGGGAAACAAAGTTAGGGTTGTGCGAGGGTACGGATGAGATGAGTTCTGCGATGAAGATTATGAGATTTTTATCCCAGTAAAGACACAACACTGGACGTACCTTGGTCAACTCCGACACCAACGAATTCCTCAGAGCATGAAGCGGACTTCTTTAAGGCATCCGCGGCGAGCACTTCAGAGACTGTTTTGAAGTTTGCTGTGTCAACATGTATCGGGGCCTCCATCTTGGTAGTATACGCGAAGGAGCCAGACTTAGCATCCGGGCGAGCACGAGCCATGGAGTTCATGAGAACCTTGTCCTCGAGCGCCAGTGGATATGGCGGCAGCTCTTTGATTTGGACGAGATTGTTCTTGATCATCATCTCGCTCATTGCCTTGTAGCTCAACTTGGCACGGACAGCTCGACGTTCCTTGTATGCTTCGTAAACGGCGGGGTCGATTGATCCAAACAGGTAACGAGGATGTAAAGCGAGCAGTACGCCTCCAACTTGACCGAAACCGAACGACGACTAAGGACAGGCACTCAGCATTGGGCTCTTATTTGAGCTTCGACACGTACCATGATTCCTGCGCGTATACCGTCGGTACGAATGGTCTTCGACGGGAACATCAGGTAGCTACGCTTCTGGAAGTGGTCGTCGACATTGCTAGAAGGGACATTAGTATCCATTGAAGGACAACTGTAAGTTTTTGAACTCACTCCGCGTTCCTATTACCAGCGATGACACCAGTGTTGATTGAATCAAGGAGGCCAGATATCTGCCAGGCAGCAGATCCACCTTTGGCGTGACCTAAGATATTCTTCTGCGCCATTATTGGCACAATATTACCAGGGGTACGTCCAAGATTTGTGAAGATAGAATTCCAGATATGGGTCTCGTTTTCCTCCTATAAGGATGGTCAATACCAGATAATAGGAAAACTTTCATGTTGACTTACATTTGCTTGTGTGCTAGTACCGTGAATGGAAAGCACATTGATGTCGTCAACGGTGAGACCCCAGACAGCCAAAGCGCGACGCAGAGGGGCAATATGTGGGTCACTTCCTTCTAGCATACCGTAAGTAGCGAGAGCCTCTTTCTCCTGGCGTGCAGCTTCTTGTTCAATGGTAGCAACTCTAGACGCATAATACTCCTCGTTCACAGTATGCCCAGAGGCTTTCTGAGCCTCTAGCTCGTCCTGCAGTTGAAGATGCTCGTGAGCAAGCCATTGCGAGACTTGTGAGCGTCGGAATGACAGTTGGCGGGAACGGTATTTCAAATCCAGAATAGGGAGAGGGTGTTTGGATGGGACTTGACGTGCTACGGTAAGCGATCCGCGTCCGGGGGCAGGAATCGATCGGCCAGCTTTGTCACTATGCAAGCGGATATTAGTCAATGAGAAGGATATAAACTTTGACTACTCTTACGTGGAGGTAGAAGTGAATGCAACGATACCGCGAACGGGGCACCCAAGTTCCAAAGCAGTCTTTGCGCTCATGACAATGTGGACAGCAGTACCCTGCGCTTCCATGAACTGATAAAACATGTAAGTAAAAGTGAATTAGACCTGTGAGAAGCGACTTACTCCTGAACGAGTACTTGCAGTTGGTCGGGACATTTCTGTTGGCTCACGACCCATAGCAAATTCGGCATCTGCGTTACTTGTAGCCTTCATGTTTGCGAACTCGTATGATCCTTCCTCGCTTATATCGTCGAAACCACCAGCAATCATGACCTTAGCTTTACCCGACAGGATTGTGTCACAAGCGATTTCGAGAGATTGCAAAGCGGTAGCACTAATAGGGGTAAGCAAAGGCGGAATCAAGTTATGGAGAGTATATTTACCAAGCACCGACAGGGATCTTGACCGGACCACTCGATGATAGAAGCAGAAGGTTAATCCATCCAGCAGTCGTGTTTATGAAACTATAATTTCACAAAATTAAGACAGCGATGGAGGAAATGAAGAAAAATAACCCACGTTTCTTGCAAAATGTCGTTCTGTACCTCTTTCTCGTCGCGACGGTCGGTGAACATCTTCGCCAGACTGACTTGACCACCCATACCGCTACCAAGTGACGTCCCGACTTCAGATGGATGCACGTGTTGATAGAGTTCATACGGATCCGTGATACCGGACATGTTGAGGGCTTCGGCAGTTGAGACCAAATTCCAGAGGGTGACTTGATCGGTTTGGGCAATAATGTCTTCAGGAAGACCGTAGCGGCCAGCGTACCATCCAGTAGGAATTTGGCTTGCGACTTTGCGACTGAACGAGAATGATTTGGGCACGAATACACAGGCACCCTTTTTGAGCTTGAAGAACCATTGACCTCCTTCTCCGGCCCAGATATCGCACTTGTCGCCGTGCTGGAGTTTGAATTTGGAGGCTTCATCTGCGGTGACTTCTATGGGCTCAAGATCATGGATCAACTCGACCTCTTGATTGAAGATCTTCTTATTTGGATCATAGCCACGGAAGAGCTCGGGTTCTGTAACAGTCATAAGCAAGAGACTTGGTGAAAAATAGAACAATCTTACCAATCAAACGAATGCCTGCATGGGCAAGGATATCTTTTTCGTAGCGTCCCTTGACGTCCTTGTCGTCGACTGGTTCTCCACTCTTACTGTCGACCCAACCAACATACAACGTGCCATCCTTCAGACGCCCGTCGAAGTGCTTGATGTATCCCATCATCCAGGCCATCTCGATAGCACCCTCAATTGTGAACTCTCCCCGAGCTTCCATTTCCCAACGGGTACGAGCGCTACCCCAAGGTCCCACTTCGGCGGAACCAGTGATAACCATGACCTTGTCCAAGTCAAGCATACCCCGAAGCTTGGTGACATCAACAAGAGAGTCTTGGGATTCGAGGGCGGGGAAGTCGAATCGGAAGTTAGCACGAGGGAGGACGTCCACAGTTTGAATCAAACGCTCTGCATCAACACCATTGAGAATCTTGAAGTCAGCAGCATTGTCACGAGCGATAGCACGGCGCATGTCACTCTTTTTCGTAAGCGAGGTCCTAATACGGGTCGTGATATCGGCGAGGTCTGGAAGACGATCCATGCCACCATTGAGATCAGCCCAAATGGGTTCCACTTGAGTGATACTGAACAGCAAAGGGTGCATCAAACCAAGGATGTTGAACGCCATTTCCTTGGCAGAGAATGTGCGGACACCGAAGCTTTCAAGCTCGTGCGCTACTATATTCGTGGGTCCCATGAGAGTGGTACCACGGGTCCATCTGTACAGAAAAAGTAAGTCGGGAGCCTAACCAAAATTATAAACGACTTACCCAATGACAGCTCCGGCAAGACAGAGATATTCACCCCAGCTTTCGGAAGCCCAACGTTGGAAGAGTGTTTCCAGAGAGATCTTCGATTCCGAGTACAGGCCGTCGTTGCCGAACAGACCATGATTAGGAGACAGGGGGAGGATAACTTGAGTAGGACGCGTAACAAAGTGTCGACTGGCTTTTTTGTTCTTCACTGCGCCAAGAATTCGCAACAAGTTGGTCAACATGATGCGGTGAGCCAGCTCGGACTTGTCGTCAATTCCATCGATCTCTCGGCCGTTCTCGGGAATACCAGCGAAAGGAAGTATGAAATCCAAGTCCATGCCGAGGGTAGAGTAGATGTAATCCACAAGAGCCTCGACGTCCTGCTTCGAACCTTGGTTGAAGGGCACCACAGTAAGCGCAGACCCGCGACTGCCGAAAGTTTGGAAAATGGACTGATAATATTCAACAGTCGAGCGGCTGTAGCGGGAGGTAGTGATCACAACATGAGCGCCACCAGAGAGTAGACCCTTGACAACTTCGACTCCAATGGAACCTTTGCCAACTCCAGTGAGCAAAGCGTTCTTATCCTTGAACGTTGTTCCGGCAGTGGCAATCTCGTGAAGAATGTCAAGATAGACACTCGTAAGGTTACTACTGTATTCCCAGTTGGTGCCAACTTTCCTCTTCAAATGGAGCAGAGGAACTTTGTCGGCAGACACAGTCGCGATTCCGGATATTTGAGGGCGGAGGAACTGCGAGGACGATCGACGATTTCTAGGAGTGCGCGGGCGAGGTTCAGAACCTTTGTTTCTCAATGAGCGAACGACGCCTTCATACAGAGCCTTGATACGATTCTTTTGCTCTTGACTAATCTCGGGTTGGGATTTCACAATCGTCCAGAGCTTCAGCACATCGTCTTGAACTTTTTGAATGTTGACCGGGCCTGACACTGTATCACTGCGAGCCATTTCCTCGACGTATGCCTCTAGTTTGCGAACGTTTTCGCGCATAACCTCGGTGTACACGATGTCACCCTTACTGCTGACCTCCGTGTGAGGAGCAGTTGGGAAAGTAACTAGAAGAACATCAGAAAGAGAATGAAAAAAAAGCATAGACGACATACCATCCTTGTAGACAGGCGGCTGCCCAATGAACTGATGCGTGTTGTCTATTAGCTGTTGGCCAAACTCCTTGGCAAGCTTGTAAGTGTCGCCCTTGCTCGGATCACATTGGTCAATGTTATACTGCATGTAAGCCAACATCTCCGGATCGGCGCGGTTTAGCAGATGGATGCAGCGAGCTGTGATCTCGCGGTCGACAGTTGTAAGACGTCCGAAAATGATGTCATAGTACATCGTTAGAGCATCCTGTCGAACCCAATTCCAAGAAGAGTCAAAGCGACGAGCTTTCAAGGGATCAAAGACAGGCATGATACCGTCGATGTAGAGATCACCGTGTTCCTTAGCAATACTGTCCAACTTAGCTTGTAAGGCCATCGAATTAGCCTTTTCAGCGTCGAATGCGATTTCGCCAGAGCGAGAGTCCCGCTTAAGGTAACGCATGTAAAGCTCGATATGTTGAGCAGCGAAACGCTCCTGCTCGGCCTGAAACTTTGTGAACTCTTCGCTGTTGATCACTGCGCCGCCACTGCCTCCTCCACCCCCGCCTCCTCCTGCGCCAGGAGATGCAAGAGAAATTCCAGATCGTTGCGCATACGCCGATACGACGCCGTCAAGCCAGGTTTTCGCCTCCGCTTCAGATCCCAGACGCTTAGCGGGTTCCATGGTAGTTCCAAGGAGAAGAACACCGTCCGCACGTTGAGGACCCAAACCCCAAGTCTTCGACAAATGGGCTTTTACAGCAGACGAGTTGAAGCCACCAGGCAGTTTCCCTCCGACCAAACGTGACACGAGACCAGTGGTGTATTTACCTAACGTTCCACTATGTCCAGAACCCAAAGCAGGGCCCAGCTCGTCGAGAGGTAACTCTTCACCTTTCTCGGGAGCTGAAGAGAACTCTTGTTGTAGATCGCCCAAGATTTCGTTCTGAAGAGTCGACTTTCCGCCAACAAGGTCTTTGATAGACTTCGACGTAGAAATGTCGCTGATTTGTTTTTTCAATTTCTGCGCGACAATGGCAAGAAGGATGTCCGACGATTTAACGGGAACGTCTTCAATGCTGACAGCTGGGCCTGTAGGGACAGCAACAGGTAAGGGAACGGCGGTGGCAGCGGTGACGGTGGCGGTGACAGGAGCAGCAACAGACTCGGTTACCTCTACGGGCACAGATTCACCAACCGCTTCATCTTCAAACAAGTAATAAATCTCCTTTGAATGTTTCGCATGACAAAGAATTTCGCGCTTCAAAGAAACGCAATCGTCTTGAAGCTCGTACTTAGCCTTGAGAGTACGAGTTGCCATTCCGGTAAGAGTGGGGGAAGGGCCAAGCTCGATGAGTCTTTCGAAATTGAAGTGGGAAAAGAGGAGGTCCTGGGTTTGGATCCAGCGGACTGGTGAAGCAAACTGATAAGCCAAAAGCTCGACGAGGATGATGTAAGTTAGGTTCTGGCGCTGAGCGGCAGAGCCCCAGTTCTCTTCATCCCAGTTCTTCAAGACTTTGTCGAGGCGAGGCGAGGAAGTCTGATCATAAATGATTTGAGCATAAGCTCGCGATACGTCAAAGGGTTGAGCGATGAGGTTAGGAATATATTTGCCAATGAGCACGTCTGGATTGATGTGCGTAGGATCGATCTTTTTGGAAAGGTCTAGAGAACATGAGTAGGTAGCAACAATATACACGAAGGAACTCACAGGTGCGGAAAGGCATGACACCGGCCCAGAGATATCTCGAATGGAAAGGAACGTCAATGCCTGGGAGAGGGATAGTGGCAAAGCCACGCTCTAAGAGGATATGGCCTTCCGCCTTCTTCTGATCCAGGGCACGTCCATGGCACTCTTTGACGATGTCTCCAAGCATTTCTTTCACCTTCTCAACGGAGAAAGTCTCGGTCAGCTGAAAGAAGATTAGGCCATTGCGAAACTCAAGACGGACAGACATACTTTAGCAATGTCAATTTTCTGAAGTTTCAGATAATTCAACACGTTCGTCATGGTTTGCAAGGCAACTAACTCTCCAGCGCACACATATTGTTGTCCCTATGAAAATCATCAGAGACAAATAACTGAAGAGAAATTGAAAACCTTACTTCCACATTGTAATTGACGATTTCCAAAAGGGAACCAGTGCCCACTGAAATAGTGTCAACAACTTCTCTCAGAGCAGCATCACTAAAGCTCTTGGAAATGCGGCTGGGATTGACAGCACACATAGCGTAGTTGGAGCGGTTTTCAGAGTCACGCTCAACAGCTCTTTGCATCGTGATACCACGATAGAAAACGACGTCGACAAGGGCAGAAATCGCAAGTACATCAGCAATAGATGCCAACGCAGAATATTCACCCAAAGAGTGACCAGCAAAAGCGCAGTCCGTTTGAACAAATCCTTTCGAACGCATGTCTTCGAATGCCGCTTTTTCGGTAACGACGAGTGCGATTTGAGCAAATTGGGTAGCGAAAAGGAGCCCATTAGGATGACTAAATGTATACTTGGGTGTGCGAATGTCGATGTCGGCAAAGAGAGGGAGGGTTTTGATGTGACCATCTTTGTCAGTGGTGTCGTAGGACATGTCCATATAACGCTGACGGATGGCTTGTCCCTTGATACCACCAAAGTGTACCGTCTTTTCTTTGGGATTCTCTTTGACGATTTCGAGAATAGAAAACCCATAGACAGCTCGAAGATGTTCATCGGCACCATCCCAGACCGCACGAGCAGCAGGAGAGCTATTGTAAAGATCCATACCCATACCAGGTTCTTGAGATCCCTGTCCAGTGAAGACATAGGCAGTAGTTGGTTGGGACACCTCTGCAGAACCTTCCAAGACCTTTTCACCGAGTACATTAACGGTCTCGATTTTGACAACGATATTGCCATCCCGCATTCCGGTGTGCCGAAGGTTGACGGTAAGCTGTTCGCCCGGAAGAACCATTCCAACAAAAGATACATCGTACCTGTAATGGTCGTTTAGTGTGAGGAGACATGTTAAAATGGGCGAGAACTCACGAAAGCACGCGGTCAGGATGACCCTTGGCGACAACGTTCTCTACGTATTTGCGAGTTGCAGCACTGGACCATAGACCATGAGTGATTGTCCCGGGTAGACCGGCGTAGCAAGAGAAATACGGATTGATGTGAATTGGGTTGAAATCGCCCGAGATCCCAGAGTAGGGTTCATTGGTAAGTGGCGAAAAGAATGATGTTGAGCCCTCCGTGGTAGTGAGTTGATAGCCCTCATTGGCAAGGGGCACGCTCAGACCTTGAGCAATGCCATGCCTTTGAAGGTAGGCAACGACAGGGTTGCCGTGCGCATCATCTGCTTGGAACTCAACAGAACCTACTTTCTGTAGGTTCTTCAACTGGTCGCGGACAAAGATTTCACCAGATACGGATAGCTCCCGGTAGGAAGTGCGATCCATGAAAGAGACCTCAGACTGTACACGGAAAATCAAAGGGATTCCAGGAGAGAGAGGTCGAGTATCATCTTCCCAATCAAACCATTCCTTCGATTGTAAAACGCTAACGTCGGCGTCAGTCGCTAACGTCACAATGTAGTCAGGTTCTTCAGTGGTTTCGAATGTGTTCTCGTAGTCGGTGAAGACGCCGCGGTAAAGGAAAGCAGACACAACCTCGACGACCGGCTTTGCATCACGGTAGACATGTCCCTTCACTTTGACGACCTTTCCAGGCCCGCTATTGACAACGGAGACAATCTTAGCTTCCGATCTGCATATGTCGCCGGCCTGGAAGGGTCTCGCGCCCTTCATCATGCGGAAACTGTTCGACAAATGTACGAGCTTGAGGAGATCTCCATCAATCGATGCAGGGAAAATTGACTTGATGATAGCCTAAAGATTGGGAATGAATGCATAGTTGAGCAACTTTGAAATCGAAGAACGTACCTGCCAACCAGCAACGATAGCAAAATCCATCGGAGCACTAATGGTGGTGGTTCGCACTGACTTGAACGACTCGTCGTTGTTACCAACAACAGAACAGAACTTCTCTATGTCCTCTGCCTTGAGGGTGACATCAGGACCGGTGAACGTATCATGAATATCCAACTCGGGGAGAGACTGGTCGTCCCCGTACCAAAGTTTCCAATAGAACGCCTTGATGCGCATATTACGTCCAGTGACCACTTCGTGGATGGGGGCAGATCCCATCGCGGATTTATACTCAAACTGCAAGGTGAGAGGTACAGCGACCTTGTTACGCTCTTCGAAGATCGTCACGTCAATGAGATTAGTTGAGGAATTGAATATAATTTCCGTGGCCTTGAAATTTGGGTCATGCAGGCCATACGAGCGAGCTCCCCCATACGCGACAATGGACGTTGGTTGTCCATTGGAAAGGCTAACAACGACTTTTTCGTGAGGGCGAGGGTAAAAGAGTCGGCGGATGGGATTGCTGATGTAAGAAGAACCCTGCACAACACTCGTGGACCCAATAAGCGCCCCGAACCAGTTCAATTGAGAGCCAGCGAGGCAAGCAAGCCAAGATGCATTCGTAGGGAGAGATTTCCCAAACTGGTAGACAATTTGCTCGTCGGTGGTAGTGATCTTGACACCCGCAGGGACTCTGGAAGCACGGCGCGGAGGAGCGAGATAACCAATTGAAGGAATGGTAGAAGCATCACCGTTGTAACGTAGCTGTAAGACTTTTTGAATGAGGGACGAGTTGATGTTACCGAGCAAGTCGCGAATGGGCTCATCCTTGATCACAGAGTGCTTGACGGCAACAGGGCCTTGTAATATACAAACACGTTCAGGATCTTGGTCGAAGACTGCTTCAACATCTTCAGCAGCCCACAAAGAATCCTAGAACGACATCATAAATATGTGGCATGCGTATGGCAATCAGGAGTGAGACATGTACCTTCTTAAACCAAACCTCAAACGACGCATCGAGAACAGGTATAAAAGGAACGGGCTTCTGGCCGCGCCTCTGTGAGATAGCCAAGAAGTAACCAGAGTCATCAGCAGAAAGAAGTTGCTGTGAAGCGAGAGGGTAGGCTTTGAAGAACGTTTCAACGCAAGGGAGAGGATCATTCAAGGAGTTGTAAGACTGCAGGACGGACGGTTTGGTGCCAGACCCATTGACGCCGGCAAACCTTTCTTCGATCCTTCGCATCCAGTCACCAGTAAGGTTACGAAGAGAAATATCGACCCATCGATTCTCATGGGCGACATACATCAAGCGCACCATACGAAGGACAGTTTCCTCATAAGTCATGTCTCGTAATTCCGCAACACTGCCATCCTTCTTCCAGCCGAACCATGGCTTGCTGAAATGCTTGTTGAGCTTTTCGATGACCTCATCACGATGCTCAAGTAACCAAGTCGAACGCTTTTCTTTGGGTAATTTGAATACGGTGTCATCAAACTCTTTCCAGAGCTTAACGGCGCGCGTAGCGACCTTGTGTATAGGTTCACCAAGCTCCGATCGAACAGTAAGAACACCGCCACTCGGTTTGGTATAAGTGCCCTCCCATTGTTGATCCTCCACTCCAGCGCACGCGACGATGAGATCTTTTACGGAAGAGCTTGTATGTGCCTCTTTTGCAACCATGACACGGCTTCCGAAAAGAAAACCATCATAGGGCATCGGCTGAACACCATAAGCCACTGACCATTCGCCAGTAAGGTAGGGCCAAACGTCTTCAGCAGCACCAAATCCAGAACCACCAACAAGAATAATATTCTCATGCTTACGGATGGAGCGGTAGGTCGAAAGCATGGGTTGATGGAAGTCTTCATAGGAGTGGTGGCCTCCAGCACGACCACCGGTCCACTGCATGATGATCGGGAAGTCGGGATTGGCAGCAGCAATGTTGACAACTTGCCGAATACCATCGACCGAACCCGGTTTCAACCCAAGGTGCTTGATTCCGGAAGACCTGAGACCGTCGATGATTTCAGCAGCCTTTTCAGTACTAGGTACACCAGCACCAATACAGAAACCTTCAATGGGAAAGCCTTCCTTCCTCATCTCTTGCCAAAGAGGGAACTGGAAACCAAACTGAGCAGGATTGATGTAGATCGAGTTTAGAGTGATCCCGGCACCCTGAGGAATTTTACCCTGGATTTCGACAACCTTAGCACGAAGAGCGTTCGCATTGTAATGCCCGCCTCCAGCTAATTCGACATGATAACCCGCGTCGAGAATAGCACTAACGAATCCCGCTTGGACAGTAGACGGTGTCATACCAGGGACCATGATTGGAGGCTTGCCTAAAAGACGAGAAAAGGGAGTATCAAGATGGACAGTACCATCCCTAACAGTAATCGTGAGCGAAATCCGGTGATTCAAAAAAAATGGCACATACCCGCTTTTAACCAAACGGGGAGCGTACTTCTCGCCCCAGTTGTCCTCCCGTTGAACCGCAGTGGAATCATATAACTCAGCATCTCCCTTGCCGCGTTCCCCGATGACGATGACGCGAACACCCCTCCCATCGAAATTCCTAGCAGTAAGAGGACCTATTCCACTAAGGCCGCCAGGACCGAAGTCCAGGGCATGAGTAGCTGATTTGGGGAAATTCGTCGCCTCCGTCCAGTGAATAGGTGACGTGAAGATCTGGTTGCAAAGGGAACGAGTGATAGAGGTTTTGGAAGCACGCAAATCCTTGCCTGTTGCACAAAGATATTCAGCAAATCCAAAAAAAAAAGGCATAAATAGAGAAGGAAGTACAACGTACCATCTTCCGTATTGAAAACGGGAATCCTCAACTCTTCTGGTTCCCAAAGTTCTTCGCCCTTCAAATCTTCCGAGAGTAATTTATCCGTCGCCTCACCTAGATAAACACTGTGGAAGGGCACGCCGACTACCAGGAAACGGACAGAAAAAACTGGTTTGCGCTGCGAGAATGCGATTTTGCTTTGATCGGCACCAGAAGGAGCACGAATCTTTCTCAAATTAACGACAAGACCGTGCAATGCGCGCGAGGGACCTGTAACAACAAGCGCACGAGGACCGTTGTGAAGCGTGACCTGAAGCTGAGAGTTGTCAGCTAGATGATTGTTGGTTTGCACGAGGTGAGGCTCTAACTCCTTGAGCGAAAGCCCAGTTATGGATAGCATGGGGGTGGGCATGCCCTCACCGCCATCAATGGAATCTTGAATTAAGCCAGGCTCGAGGGAGACGATTGGGAATGCTTCTTGACCACGGAAACCACAGAAGAAAAGCCAGCGGATGGCTTTCTTCGCATTCTCAGTGAAAGATTCGAATGAGGAAGACGCCGCAGCAGCGACGGCGGACACGATGCCTTGCGAGTGTCCAGTAGCACCGGTCATGCGATCGGATAGCTCACCGGGGGTGAGACCAGTAACTTTGCAGACGATCAAATACTGCACGAGCTGTGTCAACCCAATAAGAGGGAACGAGATGGGGACAGAAGCCAGGTAGGAGATCGAAGGACGAGACACGACGCCGGAAAGCCAAGAGAAGACATCGAGGCCGTGAGTGTAGAAGGAGGAGAATTGCTTTTCCTCGGCAAGGGGAACGAGGATCTCTGACATTGTTGAAATAAACGAAGCGACGAAGGGTTTGTAGATGTCATAGAGAGATTGTAATTCGTCGAGATAGACTTCGTTAGTCCCTTGCCCTCCAAAGAGCGCGTATATCGAGGCTTCGCCGGCAGCGGCGGCAACGAATAGGGCCGATTGAGGACCTCTGGGAATGTCAGCAGCTTTCTGTTCAGAGAGAACAGAGAAAGCGCTGAAGTATGAAGTGAGTACAGCCTTTCTGACCTCAGTATCGTAGTTGGAGGCCAAAGAGTGAATGTCTTTGCTGTATAGGTAGGTTGAGGTGAAGAACTTGAAAACATTCAATAACAGTGCTGTACGAGCAGCGGTGCATTCTGAGTTTTCATGCACTCTAGTAGCGATAAAGCCGAGGAATCGGGCAGCAAGCTCTAAGGATGCTTCTGCCTGGTTTTCGAGTTCAGCAGTGTTTCCAACTGCGTCTATGAGCGATTGCTCATGAGTGAATTCTTCTCTAAGGATTTCTGCAGATATCCATTCATCTGCTTTGGTAGAGACTGGGATTGAAACCTTGAAAATTAAGTAATTTTTAGCAGGCATTCCCAAAACCATGATGAAAAGTACGCACTCTAATTTTGCCCAGTGATATTATGATAGGTCGCATGGTAATGGACGATGAACAAGCGTCGTTCGCAGAGATCGTCGCCATCGTTGAGCAAGGTAAAATGCCCGAACAATGGAGAAAGCAAAAGAGCCAAAGGCTTTATATATTCGAACCCCCCAAATGAAAAAGTCGTGTACGTCCCCAAGAAATTTCGACGTCTACCAGTGATAGACGCCCATCACGTGGCGGCGAAGTCTAGACCTCGGACATGATCGATGATGAATCATTCACCTTCAAATTTGTTATGTACCTCTTTGCAGTGAGTACATAGCGGGTGATCTCCATCTTCCAATCCGTTGTCATCTTGCTTGTTGTCCGACTACTCAACGTCTACCTACGCGTCTGTCTGCTTTGGGGTGATCCTGTCGCTCGCTAACACTCACACAATGTCTAGTCACGCAGAAACCCGAGTAAAAATGCACCTCCCCAGAATCTTTTTCAACAAGAATATTTTCAATTCATTCGGTATTTCAATCACATCATCGCGTCGTGTTGGTATCGTTTTCCACCGCCCCCAACAGTCGACTAGTTGGAACACTCAATACACTGGCTCCTCACTTTTTGTACTGTCGCTTTTTGAAGAATTTTTACCCCCCATTATATCACCTCCATTACAGAATACTTTCTGACAAATGATACCTCTTATCTATTCAGCTGCAGTTATTCGACTTGCCATAATCGTAAATCAATGAATAAAACATTTCTAACTCGACCCCATTACTATGAAGTAAAGAGGCTGCGTTAAAACAGTACCGAGTGGCTACAGACTGAGACTGCAAGCTACAAACATCAAATTTGCATCAAACCTCAGAATTAGGCAGTTCGCGTGACGTCAGTGCCTCGGGATCGCCTATGCATCTTTGTAGTTTCTATGTACAAAGTTCGAGCGAAGGAAGCAATCAAGTATCAATTTTCAAAGTACTTGCTGAACTAAACCTAACAATCGGACAATTGACTGCACATTACACTTAACGCACAATTCTACGATACCAATTATCAGTTTTGACATCCCAGACCAGTCCCAGACTTTCATATTCCAACCGATCACACGAATATCTGGATATCCGATACACGACATTGAGCAGCAGGCTTCTGTGATTATCAATTCTCGTGAGGTGAGGTGAATTAAGTCACTTTATCTCACAAGTTCGCGGAACAGGCATTGAAATGAAGCTTACAACGACGTTTGCTTAGGACGGATTGACTATCAACAGCCACAGCTCTCTTGAAGGATGAATATGGGTTAACCCTAGTTGAATGGATGTCATACGATGTTATAACAAGGACTACATAGATAGATACACCCCGCCAGGAGAAAATCTTGATGTAAACAGTGCTTGCATCTATTGAGAGTAAGTACGTAGAAGAGACCGTTGAAAAAATAGCATAGCAGATAAGGATGACCGACAGGTGGGAGAAACAAAATAGAAATGAATGCCTCCGTCAAGTCAATAAATAACGATTGAAAGTGTAAAAGTACATGGTGATATAAGTATGGGAATATCAACCGCACGCTCCTAGTTGGCAAGCGCTCCGCGGGACGGGCTTCCGGGCTGCGGTGGAAGAGCAGAAGCAGGGGCTCGAGCTGTCCTTCTTGAGGGAGTTGCAGGTGTACTTTTACCTGATGTTAAGGACGGGGACACAGAGTTCTTGCATAATCCTGGAGGAGGTAGACCAATGAGCCTGGATACTGTCCAAGGAAGCTCAAATTGAGCGCGGCCTGCGAAGGTAACATAACGTGCAAGCTCGAGATGAAGAGTAGGATAATAGGTCGTGGAAGCTTTGCGGGAGATCTAAGGACGTATTAGGAGAGCGTTCAGGTGACAGTGACAGAAATACCAAGATAAGTCGCTCAAAACCAGATGCAAACATATCGCTATGGAAACGGTGTGCAGAAAGTTCGTGGTCCTTAGGTAGATTCAAGTCGTCAGTGGCTTTAGCAACAGCATTGATGAATTTAAGATGTGATGTCTTTCAAGCGGAGGTGTGAGAAACGAGCATCCCGGTGAAACTGAATCACTCACGAAGTAATTCATGGCTTCGAATTCTACGCCGCCCGTCATACCACCTGGCGCGCGAGGTTTCTCAACCCGACCCTCATCAGTCTCTGATAAAAGCCAGATTGTGTTGTTGGGGTGACAGAACACCCAAAAGTAGTCGCGACATACGTCGGACAACTCTTGTAAATAGGTCTTGTATATCCTAGGCCGATGAAGATTCTCTATGAACTCGTGAGGAGAGAGGGGGGACGCAGGGGCTTCCGCTGTGGGAGGCGCAGGGGTGAGGAGAAGGGATCGTATGAAGGAGAACAAGGATTTGTGAGGCGCGGGGAGGGTAATGACGTTGCCAGAACCAAGAGGAGCAGAGTCAGAGTCCCATATTTCTCGATGCGGACTCCTTCCGGAGGACGGCAAAGATGAAGAAGGATAAAGGTCGAATAGAATGTGCAAAAGTTCTACAATAAGTTGACGGGTGGCAACCTCGCCTGGCTTTTTGTCAGAATACAACAGCGTGACAAGTTGGCCCCAAGGAGTAGGGCTAGAGCTTCGAAGCGCAACACATCCAATAGAAGATGTAGACAGGGCTTTAAAACATCGTAGGAGCTCATGCAAAATTTGATCATCATGTTGTTCTTCCCTGCAAGACAGTCAATACATAATTGTGTACAAACGACATACAAACAGCAACTTACCTCCATTCAACCTCCAGGATTTCATTCATTCGAGTCAAAAGAGCGGCATAGCCGCCTGAACGGAGAAACTCTTCGGTCCAACTATATCGTCGTCAGAACGTGAACGAAGGTACATTGTAAAGATTGTTACCTAGCAGATTCGTTTCGTAACAGCAGACGTAATTTCTTGACTTGCTCCACATCCAGCTCTGTACTAGATGCACCGGCCAAGATGCTGACCGACTTTGTTGGTGATATTATTCTCGAGGATCCAGGGCCTTTCTCCTTTCCTGACTTGGCCGTGGCCGTGAGGTCCAAAGTGGAGTTATTTCCGAGAAGGTTGACTTGACTTCGGGAAATAATACCTGTACCCAGAGATATGCCACGAGAATGACTAGATTTTCTCGGAGACCCCGTAGAGGAAGCAGATCGAGAAGATTGATCGCTGAGCGTGAAAGGTGCCATTGGAGGTCTCAGGTCGTAGTCCAAAGTTGGTTTTGTTGGGCGAGGAGATTCCAACGTGTCAATGCTTCGTGTCCGTCTCAAGGTCAAGGGCTGGGGTGTGAGTGGCATCTCAGGAATAACAGGGAAAGTTGATTTAATATTAAGCGACATCCCTCGAGATGACTTTAACATAGCTGCTTTGACAGAAGAGTCCATTCCAACCAGCTTAGGACGAAGAGTAGAAGGAATTTGTAGCTCGTCCTATATCCATTCTGTCAGCTTACATTATGAGTAAAATGGAACTGAACCAACGCACCAAAAGTTGGTCGAAAGCTTCGTGCATGTCATCTCCATGTTCAAGTTGGTTAATCTCTTGGGCAGCTCCGCGTTTCTTCTTATCAGTAAATCCTTTGTCAGAGCCAGCGGAACCTCCCTTCGTATTTCGAGTGGATTGCGTGAAAAAGTTAGAGCTCGGTTGGTTTTCCTTGCCGTTTGGAGCTCCATCTGCTAAGGGAGTTACCATTGTGAAGTCGGAGGAGGTGATCCTTTTTGATGGAAGGATACTCTTGAACATCCTGTTTGTATTGTTGTAGGTCAAAATCGTCAAACGGTGAAGATTCAGAATCTCCAAAATCGCGCTTCAACATCTAGCACGTGGTCGTGTCAATGCCAACCAAGTACATAATCCTATAACGAAGTAGCGCCGGCAAGCAGCATAGCCCGCTACCCGTAAGATGAAAGCATTGGTGTTATATGTAGTACAAGCTTTAGAACCCGTGCCTTCGCCACGGTGGTTTGCTTTGCTCGCACCTTGTGCTCTCCTGTGCTACAGCTGGGCTCACAGCTTATTGGGGGCAAGCCCCCAAACCCCCATTAGTCATCACTTCGCTCCTCTGGCACACTTAGCTTTTGTTTAACTTATTTACACTTTACAAACTGCTAATAAATAAAGAATCTGGAGTATTTGGTGCATTTATTTAGTCTAAAAGAACCTCTGGGTAAACTATATTCTGTGTCACCTATACAACAAAGGTAAATCAACAAATAATACATTGAAAGTAATGATAAAAACTTTACCTTCACAAAAAATGACCTTGACTCCTTGTTCTGTGGTACTGCAACATCTGCAAAACCTGGATTTTTGGCTAAGGACTGAGAGCAACTCAGAGCATATCCCAGCACTGAAAGCACTGAAAGCAGTTCACTTTGAATGCTTTCGGTGCTGGGAGCTGCTCTCAGCTACTTTTGGACCCTTAGCCGAAAATCCATGTTTTGCAGATGAAGAAAGAGCAACATACAATTGGCCATGTGTAAATACAGATGACTGCAGGTTTAAACCAACTTGTTTCACTGATTGCCCTTGTGCTTTATTGATAGACATTGCAAAAGCAAGCCAGACTGGAAATTGACATCTTTTCAATGTGAAAGGCAAATCCAAATTAGATGGTGTAAGTGTTATGTGTGATATGAAAACAGTTTCTTCTGCATGGTCTCCTCCCAATATTTTAACCTCTAAAACCCTGGTAGTACAATGAATTAAAATTGCCCTATGTAAGACCTGGATCAGAATGGGTATTATTAAGATCATGTACACCGGAAAGCTGTGCCAAGGGCCATTTAGTGTCTAAGCATGGAGGGTCAAATGGGACAGTAGTGAAGTTATTAACAACACCACTGTTATGCCATTAGTCCTGGAGGAAGAGAGTAGAAGAGAGGTACAAGAAGAACATAAGTAGCAGCCAAGCCAGTGACATGCCTGAATTTTGGCTAGATGTCTATGCAGTGAATTTTGACACTTTTATATGTAGATTTGTATCAAGAGGACTGTAATTGAGACTCAGATTGACTGTCAAAGTCATTACTGAATCAGTCTGATAGTTGAAGAGACCCTATACCCATACTACCATGAGTTGGTTAGTTTACCCATCCCTGAAACTAGCTTCAGATAGAAGTCTACCTGTTTGTCAAGCAGGATTATACCAGACTCAGACTACATCCAAAGAACAACAGTTCATGCATGACATACCAAGGGTATTGTTGTTGAACCTTACACTGGCAGGAGTTTGGAAGAACTTACTCAGGTGAGGATAAGCCAAGGATTGACTCAAAATGACTTTCTAAAACTCAAGAATTGTCAAATGCACATACTAGAATGAGATCATGCATTAATCCAAAAGACTGCAATTTAGTCTAATAGACCAATCAGGTTGCATGGTTGAAGGAAATGACTAGAAAGATGATCAAAGTACTGCAAGGCTCCGAAAATATATCAAATGTATCTCAAAGAGTCATGAAGCAGAAAACATGGAAGAATATAATTAAAATGAATACTATGAACAACTTTCTTGATAGAGTATAGACACAATGGGTGTCTACTGAAAGTGGAAAGTAATTAGATTAATCCAGATGAATCAGATTGATAGGATTGGAAATGAGAAGAGCTGATTTGCCTCTAGACAAGGTGACAAATGTTTGAAGAACATATTGAGCATCCATGACAGATGAACACCATTCAAGTCATTCTCTAATTAAGATTCAATAACTACAAAAGTACCTACCTATGTTTGGAGGTATACTAGAATCTTGGAACCAATATGGACCAAATAAGAATGAATACATTCAAATTAAATAATGTATAACCTATTATAGAAGTTTCCTTGTGGCTCCAAATATTCATTCTGTTAAATTAATTGTACTGTGCAATTCTATGTCCTGTATGTATAAATAGCAATCAGATGTATCTGGAATACAAGTGATTTTGGGACAACGTTGCAGTGCTAATCCATAAAAAGGAAAGACACACTCCTGCCAGACTGAAACCTCTTCGCTAGCAGCCATTCGGGCCCGGCACTTGTGAGTATAGGAATGTCGTGTTCTGCTCCTTGTGACTGCGAGAAATTATATCCAGCTGTTGGGTATTCTTAACTTAGGATCAGTCGTTGGTCTTAAGGGCAAATCACACTGTGTGGTTGTGCTAGCACATAGTTCTAGCCCTTCGTAGGGGTTTGTGTGTTTCGGTTTTAATTACTTTGAGTCAAACCCCCAATTCTTGATATACCCATATCAATACAATCAAAGCACAAATCGTGCTGAATCTACCTTAATCAAAGGAATATACCAAATCCTTAGAATGATTCAAATTGATTGATCAAAGCTTTTCCTAGCTCTCAAAGCTTTGCGGAACCTTTGACAATGCTACCCCTTGCTATTAAATAAATTTGATAGCAGTGAACTTGCATATTGTGTATTAGATTGGTTGGTTGGAGTGCCCATTTGATTCCTTCCTTTCTCTTTCACATAAAAACGAGGCAAGCTCGTTAGCATGGGTACGTTCCCAGTTAGATGCACTTACTGCGGGACTCCTAAGGAGACTAGAAAGGGAGCTTCCTTGTCTTGGTGGAGGATTAAGGGACTGTGTGGGAGGAGTTGGTAATCTCCTCAATAATGTTCGGGACTGTTCAGATACAGCAGGTGATACCTTCCTTTCAGGGAGCTTTTCTTTCTGTCAAGCTGTAAGGGAGGCCACCTCCTTCCCTTATAGTTTGTCTATAGTGGCTATTTGACTGCTAACTCTTCCTCCTGTATTCGAAGCTGATTCCATGTCCAACTGCAGTACTGGCCCAGAGGGGGGGGTCCTCTCGTTCCCCAAGTGGGAGAGTAGGTGAAACCTCCTATTGGACTACTGGTAGGCTGAACATACCCCATTGAGGCAGCCCCATAGCTGTTCTGGTGGATCTGGGATCCACTGGAGGAGGAATCTGAACTACAAGTTGATGTCCTTTGGTGGTCCTTACATCATTAGAGGGTTCATCACTGTTCTGGGATGGATGTCAGGCATTGGCCAGCTACTACTGTGATGGCAGTCAAACTGGCAGTCTGGTTCAATTTTTGAGCTTGTGTCATGCTCTGTTGCTAAACCTCCCTTTCTAAACCTCCTAGAATTGCTTCATGAGCACGTCAACTCTGCCCACTCCTCTTAAAGAACCTCCCATGAACCATGGAGCATTAGTCAATCTCCTAATCAATACTAACCTCCAACCAAAGCAGCAGTATTGGGATGGCCTTGCATATACTGTCAAATGGTCCCTTATCAATCTAGCCTCATGGACTTCGCACTTCACATCATCCCCATTAGATGCTTGTTTCCTATAATGCCTCCTTACCTATTTATCTCACCTATATATATGTACCCTCATAGCATAAATGTCCCTAGCTTGGTATATTTTGAATATACACCCTTTACATAGGTCCAGTCCCTGTTCCTTTGTACCTGCTACCTATACGGAACTTCATTTACTCTCTGTTTCTCTATCTCAGTTTCTTTACTTTTATCTCTTGTCTTTACAATCACCTATGCAATCCAATACATGCTTTTACTTCACATCTAAGCAATCCAAGTGTAGAGGATGCGATAGGACTACATGCACGGCTTGCCATTAATCAGCAATAGAATATATTAACTTACAAATGTATATACGTTCGGGTAATTCGGGGAATCAGCACTTGGCTTCTGTCTACGGTATACGAGTCATCGACGCGAGGACGGAAGGAAGACTCGCATTACATCTGGAGCCCACCGCAAGCTAAGAAAGATAGCTAAGATTTCGTCGGAACATCCAAACTTGACAGCGTCGGGAAACCCGCTAAGATTTCTGCCAGCACGAAAGGGCATATCGTCAACGGCGCATAGACACTCCCTAGACACAGAGCGACTACAGTACCTAGCCCCTGAGGAAACATTGCACCGTAAAAACAACAGAACAGACATAGACGTTAGACAACCCAGTGCAGATGTAACGAAAGAAATACATACCAGCAAGTGGACCTCTCTCGGAACGACTCCCTCAACAGTATCTTCACTCTCTCCATTGACTCCCTCTCCACCATCTTCACCACGGATTTCACCCATTACAATGTCGACTACACCCACGCGCGCAGCTACGAAAGGTCATGCCAGCCCCAGGTTCAACACGAGCACTGACTAAGTTCAGAGGGAAAAATGCAGAACTACTGTCACAAAGCGGCAGAGGCGGAGTGACTAACGGAGCGGGAAAGCGGAGCGACTAAGCAGAACGGTGAGGCGGAGCAACTGGACAAGGCAACAAGGCGGAGCGACTAAGCAGAACGGCGGCAGGCTGGTCCCAGATAATGACAGAGATATATTGAGTATCGTAGTCATAGGTAATAATAAGTAAGCACATACCTGGTCCCAGATAATGACAGAGAGGTCAAGATAAGGGACCAGGCTGTAGAGGGCTGGCTATATATACATAATCCGGTCTGCGAGAAACAACGATGTAATACTGTACAGTTTAGGAACAAGGAAGGTGGCGGAAGCCAATAGAAGGAGAAGATGGGTCAGGTGGATCAGTAATCGATGGATCAGTAATCGATGGGGGTTTGACAGTGATGGGATGATGTATCGTACAAGTAAAGGCGTCGAGACGGTGAGAAAAGGAAAATGATAGGGGCTGCGTACTTTATGACATTACCCCCCTCCTTATGACCATTGCCCTCGATGGTCAAGGCTTTGCCGCTGTTGGGTGTTTTTTATGAAAGGCCCGAACAATTTTT